CCCGTCATGACTTACGCAAGTGTGGTGTTCGCTCACGCGGCCCGCACACACATAGACACCCTCCAATCTCTACAATCCCGCTTTAGCAGGTTAGCCGTCGGAGCTCCGTGGTTCGTGAGGAACGTTGACCTACACGACGACCTGGGCCTCGAATCTATCCAGAAATACATGAAGTCAGCGTCGGAACGGTACTTCGATAAGGCTATGCGTCATGATAATCGCCTTATCGTTGCCGCCGCTGACTACTCCCCGAATCCTGATCACGCAGGAGCCAGTCACCGTCGACGCCCTAGACACGTCCTTACGGATCCATCAGATCCAATAACCTTTGCATTAGACGCCTTCAGCTCTAACACTAGGAGCAGGCTTAGGGACCTCGGTAACCGTACTCGTCGAACTCGACAAAGAGTTCGCCGTGCAACCTAACCCATGAATCAGCTCGCTGAGTTTCTCGCCGGATCTTCTCAGCGGGTCGCGATTCCGATCCGGTAGTAGATTCATTCGCGAAGCAGCTGCTCTTGAGCTGTTAGGTCTCCTTCGGAGGCGCTCGGGTAGCTGTTAGCAAATCCCACCCCTCCTGGCTGAGCCTTTGCTCGCCCACCTGTCCTGGTGAAACTGGAAAGGCCTCCGGGCCACCAGTAATCCTTCAAAAAAAAAAAAAACTCGAGAATGTTATATATTATATAATCATACTAGCGACCCGACCTCGCTTCGTTGCGGAAACTGTAATTTATTATTGATTTTTCCACTATTTAATTGATGTTATTATACATATAAACCTTCATCTTCAATCACTCTATCTATTAAAAAAAAACCGCATCAAAATCCGTTGCGTAGTTTTAAAGATTTAAGCATAAGGATATAGGGACAGAGAAAGCGACTTTGTTTTATACTATATAGTGATCCACGTCATCGTTGTTGTCGATGGCGGCACTTGGATTGGTTGGGTTCTATAGTTTATAAGTTGTGGTGTCGATGGCCCCGATATCCGCTTTATAACAGGCCGATCGCCAGCTCACCCATCTACCTTGATTGATAAAAATAAATCTCAAGTACCCCGGTTATATAAAAAAATGCCTATGCTAGAATATTTTATTTAACACATTTTTTATGTAGTAATGCTGAGTGAGCTATTTTATGGACCGCCTTGTATTATCACTGGAGTTCAAAACGTATTTACTCTTATTAAACTATGCGACAATGCCGGCGTTCAAATCTAGCAGACAGGTCTTTTTTTTATAAGGAAATACGTACTCACAATGCGGACCTCCCGGTCACCGTCCTCGCCGAACCCGTCGTTTGCGACGAAGGTCTCGACGAATAAATTAACCCATAGATACAGTCCACTGAGTTTCTCGCCGGATCTTCTCAGTGGGTCGCATTTCCGATCCCGTGGTAGAATCTTCGAAGCACTGCTCTTGCTAGGGCTAGTGCTACCAACACTCCGGTTTGAGCACCGTGAGCTCCCCTACACGTCAAGGCAAAGCTGAAATAGCCTTTCAGGGCTATAAGCAAAGACAGGAATAAAAAAAAATTAATCATGTAATAAAAACCAGACTTATAAATTGGCGTAATCACTAGTGGGAGGGTGCATTGAAAACTCGTACCATTATTTTGTCCATTTCTGCCACGAAGAAGTTAGGTATACGTTGCGGCAATTACGGGCTAACATCTCATTTGGGCAGGACAATTCACGAGGTCCCCTTCAACTTTCCCAACATGCATTTAATTTTAAAAGTCGTCGTAGCCTAAAGGATAAGACGTCCGGTGCATTCATATCTAGCGATGCACCGGAGTTCGACTCCCGCTGACAAGTATCAATTTTTCTAATTAAATATGTGCTTAACGATTGACTTCCACGGTGAAGGAATAACATCGTGTAATAAAAATCAAACCCGCATAAATTATAATTTGTGTAATTACTGGTGGTAGGACCTCTTGTGAGTCCGCGCGGGTGGGTACCACCACCCTGCCTATTTCTGCCGTGAAGCAGTAATGCGTTTCGGTTTGAAGGGTGGGGAAGCCGTTGTGACTATTCTTGAGACCTTAGAACTTATATCTCAAGGTGGGTGGCACATTTACGTTGTGGATGTGGCGGTAGTTCTTTTGACGTTCAACAAGTATGTACTTTCATTTATGTTGAATAAAAGTTTTTTGATTTGATTTGATTTGATTTTGATTTGATGTCTATGGGCTACATGCAATAAAAAAAGGGTGCGTGTACTTATGTACGCGCGTAAGAAGTTATACTTTATTTTTATTAAATTTATTTCTTTTTTTTAATATTAAATAATTAACAATAAATATTTAACGTTAATAATTTAATAATATTTAGTATGAATTATATTAAATAATAATTTTGTTATTTATATTACTAAAAAATGAATGCTAATAACACTTTTTTTTTACGAGTGTACATGCGCGAATGTTCACCAGCGGCTATATTCAGACTCGCCAAGTTACGTCGGTCGTCTTGTAATGAGTGATTTAGTGCGCAACTTCATTCTGTTAATTTTGTGTCACGGTGCGCGCGCATCGTAAAATTTCACTCTCATCAATTTTTCATAACGCGCCTAAAGAAGTATAACTTCAAAAATTGTATACCCAGTAGTACATCGCTAGGCCCCTGGGTCTACAGGGCCGTAGGCAGTAGCCCACGGCGCACACGCCTTACGCTAACTCAGTATTCCGCCTTCAAGATGAGGAATAGCCTTTATACAACACAATTTGAGATTTCGAATTCACATCTCAGGGTGAATGACGACATTAACATTTTGAAGTATTTGGGCTCCGATAACTACTTATCACAAGGCTAACTGTAAGTTCGTTCCTAGGTGTAACCTTCAAATAAAAGAAATAAAAAATTTTAACAGTTTCGTACTTGTTTGGGTTACTTTTTAAAAACTTAACAGTAAAACCCGGATCAAACCATAACACAACGAATTAGTCGAGTCTCGTGTCGAAAATCAAGTAACTCAACGCGAGCGGACTTGATTACCCGGATAATGGTCATTCTCGCTCACGACTCGATCGTGTGTGGACGTGCTTTCCGATCCGTTGCTCGCTTGCGATCTACGTCTCGGAACTCACAATTATGCACGACAGTGTAGTGACCGTGAATACCCCATACCAACTGTCTTTTTCAAGGCAAAAAGGATCGCTACGATCAGGCTTTCTGTGGCACTCTCACAGGCTAGCGATCTTCCCAACCCTCTCCTAAGCCCCACTGATTGCCGTTTTCACGGCATAGGCACTACCCCTCCCTGCTATCACTGCTGGCTAGTACAGCGCAGGGAGGTTCTCCCAGGGGACTCGCCATTCGGCGAGTTGAACAAAAGTCTCGGGGCCGCCCCCCCCCCCGGGCAAGAAGACCGAAGATGGAAGAAAGTGACAGTGAACTTGTCGGGTTCCTCCGGGATAGGTACCCGTCAATTAGGGCCGAATATATTAGGTATAGGGCCGCTCGCGGCAATCCCCCTCCCCCGCGTCCCTCGCTACGTAGTTCGAGCGCACGTTCCGACGCAGCGACTCATGTAGTGCCTAACGCTACCCCCACCTCACACCTATGCTCTTCAGGAGGACCGCGAGTTCCACGTAGTAATTCGCGGAGTCCCGAAGGAACTAGACATTGACTACGTCAAGGAGGATCTGATCGCTCAGTCCCTCCCGATAGTTAGTGTGCACCGGATGCACAGCGGACGCGGCAGACAGCCGTATAATATGATTCTCGTCGCGTTAGAATCAACCCCGGAGGCCAAAAATAAGATCGTATGTTTCTCGACAGTATGCGGCCTATCCCGGGTCTCCATCGAAGCCCCCCATAAACGTGGCACTCCCAGGCAGTGCTACAGATGCCAGCTCTATAGCCACTCGGCGCGTAATTGCCACGCGCGTCCACGCTACGTGAAGTGCTCGGCGATCACGCTACGTTAAACTGCTCGCGAGTTAGGGAAACCGCGACCAAACCCCCAAGTTGTATCCTATGCCTTAAGCAAGGGCACCCTGCGAACTACCGTGGATGTCTTATGGCTCCGCAAAAACGTCCGAATCACCCAGCCCCCCGAACCGTCAGCCCAAAGACTTCGGCGCCTTCAGTGCCGAAACCCGAATTCGTGCCGGCGGCCGACACGGCGACATTGAGACTCTTAAAAATCTTTGGAGTAAGCAGTGGCGAAATTTCCCTTGGAAACAGTGCGTGAATCCATAGATTCGTGCCAAACAGATTAAAAGCCTGTTTAAAAGCCAAAGGTGACCCTTTCGAATAGAATTTATTTTTTATTTTTTGCTGAGACTTTAATAAATACTAGATGATGATGTTTTTTTTTTGATAAGCCATCGTTGCCGTAAGCCATTGTTGTATCTTTAAAGCGGTTAGTTGCCCTCAATTAAGAAAAATAGTATTATTATTCGCCAATAGATGTCGGGAACGAATAGAAGCGCGAACGAGAAGCCGTGAACAACATCTACACACTTGATTTTCAGTTGTCGCGGGCTTTCGCGGCCGTTCGCACCCTGAGTGTAGAGCCGGCTTTACGCGAGGGACGAAGCTGTGTTTTTTTTAAATTAAGTATTTCTTTATGATTGAAAATGTAGTAATGGTGGCTTATTAACCACTTAGCATTTGAGAACGTGTACAAATACAGACAATGAAACAAAGCTCCTGGATGTAGCTTTTCGGATTTTTCCAAAAAACCCCATGCCGTCTCGTTTCAATTAATTTCATCCAAATAGATTAAAGCTTCTGATTAATCAACTTCATCATAGTTCACTTCTAAACATACATCAAAATTTTAACAGGATGTAAGAAATAAATAAAAGACTTGGATTAAAGGTTATGAGAACCAAGCCATGAAATGATAAATTAATCGTATATCTGGAATAAAAGTGTATTATCTATGGCTATCATATAGAACAGACAAAGCTGTATGAGCTTATACCCCTTGTCTTTCCTAATAAGGAAAAATTTTACCAAAAAAATCATCTATGGCTGACGTCTGTGTATACATTAATGTGCCCATGATTTTAAATTTAAAATTAATTTTCATAAAATTCATAACTAAGTAATGGAGGCCGGTGAATCGTTTTTATCTTGTGCTGTAACAGTGGAATGGACTACCACTCAAGGTTCTATTTCTAGGAAAATTCATTACAAGACGGCTTCGCTTAGACTAATCAGGAACGAATTTCGCGAAATGTTTTTAGAAGTGACATCCGAAAAACATGCCGCGACTAAATTGGCTCTTAAAAGTTTCAATGTTTTCAAAAAGTTTATGGCTGAAGGTAAAGCAAGTATTAAGTTCCAGGAAGCTAATTGTACAATATTTATTTCAAATGCACCTCCTACAAATTTGGTAATGTTTCTTCGAACTATATTTGTTAAGATGACCAGTGATAAAGAGCAAACAGCAAATAAAACTCCAACAAAACAGTCAATGAGGGCAAAGCTGTTAAGTGGTAAATCCCAATCTTTTGATGAAATAAGCCCAGTTACAGTTGCCGACATTCATATTGCGAAAAGTAAAATTTCAAAATCTACAATCACAACACCATCACCGCCTTCAAAGAAACGTAAGAATGACGACCCAAGTAGAGGTCCTGCACCAAAAAAATTGTATTCCCCTTCACCTCTTACTACCACTAATTCGTTAAATTCTGAACAGCAAAGAGTTTTGGAAGCATGTTTGGGTGGAAAAAATATTTTTTTCACTGGCTCTGCAGGAACAGGAAAAAGTTTCTTATTAAAAAGGATTGTGGCAGCTCTACCTCCTGATGTAACAATGCCCACTGCATCCACTGGTGTCGCAGCTTGTCACATTGGTAGGTATTAATAGCTTTAGCGTAATTATAATTTTATTTAAAAAATAGGACATTTAAAAATGTTTGCATTCATTCTAAATTAGGATCGAATTTTTTTATTATTATTCAATAAAAAAGATTTTGCTAATATTTGACTAATTAAAAATAAATTTAAACATCTGGGATTTTGATTTAAGTTCTCAAAATAACCATGAGTATTCACATGGCCTCCAGTAATCGATTAACATCAAGTAGGCCACACATCCATAAAGCAATTAAAATCAAAAACACCTGTGTTGTAATTGAATATTTTTTTCCAGGTGGAACCACTCTTCATGCTTTTGCTGGCATAGGTGATGGTAGTGGGTCTATCGAAAATTTATGTGAAAGAGCTACTAAAATACCATTGGTAGCACAAAAATGGAGAAAATGTAAACACCTTATTATAGATGAGATATCAATGGTCGATGGAATATTTTTTGAGGTACTCATGTCATTACTAACTGTAATCTGATTCTTTTGAATGTCCAATTTTGTTAGTAAGCAATAATCTTGTCTACTGAAAAGCTAACTGATCTCATTGGAGAATAATTAATCAAATAGAAACAATAATGAGATGAGCATATTAAATTCTCCAGCATTATAATATTATGCAAGCTTTAACACCTCTATTCACCTTAAAATAGGTGAATTTTCATAATCAATTAAACATTATTATCCTATAGTTTTAGTCTACACAGGAACTGCATTAATTTTTTTAAATTCCTCTTTCAAATTTTATTACCTTGGTTATAAATCCCTTCAGAATTAGAAAAAAAATCCAGTGCTTACTAATGTTACTTTCCAAGTACATTGATTATATTTTACTCTGTAACATTTCCAACTTGATCTAACAGTAAATCTGAATAATAATATGTAATTTTAAAATTTGAATGTTTTATTTTTTTTATTTTTTTTTATTGCGTACAAGCTCAGATTATGTGCTATCAAGTAGTTTCCTTGAGATATCCACCTTGCACCTTGAGATATGAGGTGTAAGGCACAATTGTAAATCAACCTTTAAACTACCTACCTGGTGGTTCCTACCTGCACTGCCCTTGCCCTACCACTAGTAATTATTTGTTTTTTTTTTATATGAATCTAATATTATTGCAGAAATTAGAAGCTGTTGCGAGACATATTAGGAAAAATGACAAGCCATTTGGTGGCATTCAACTGATTCTTTGTGGTGATTTCTTACAACTACCACCAGTAGTGGACAAGAATAAACAGAAGAGATTTTGTTTTCAATCACATTGTTGGGATAAGTGTATTGAACTTTGTTTTGAACTAAAACAGGTACATAGACAAACAGATCAAGAATTTATTTCGATTCTCAATAGTATCAGAATTGGTCGTGTTACTAAAGAAATCAGCGACAGATTAACAAGAACAGCAAGACAGAAAATTGAGGCTGATGGCATTTTAGCAACTAGATTATGCTCACATACTAATGACTCAAAAATGATAAATGAGTCAAAATTGATAGCTTTGGATGGAGAGGGAAAATTATTTACATCACAAGACAGTGACAATGCTACTACATTATTGGATATGCAAACTATTGCCCCTTCTAAACTCATGTTAAAAATTGGAGCACAAGTAATGTTATTAAAAAATATTAATGTAAATTCAGGTTTAGTTAATGGAGCCAGAGGCATTGTTGTTCGATTTGAAGAAGGATTCCCTGTCGTTAGATTTAAAAACAAAAAAGAATACATAGCTAGAACAGAACGCTGGTATGTCAAAAATTCGAATGGTACATTATTATGTCGCAGGCAAGTTCCGTTGTCTTTAGCATGGGCTTTTTCAATACACAAGTCACAAGGGTTAACTTTAGATTGTGTTGAGATGTCACTGTCGAAAATATTTGAAGCTGGACAAGCTTATGTTGCATTGAGTAGAGCACAAAGCTTAGACAGCCTTCGTGTATTAGATTTTGATTCCAGACATGTATGGGCAAACCCTGATGTTCTAGAATTTTATCAAAGATTCAGAAGAAGATTGCAACAAATGGAGATAGTACCACTTGGTAGACCATTACCTGAAAAAGCAACTAAGAAGTTGAAACTTAGAGATATTTTAGAGAAGCAATTAAGAAGGAAATAGTGATCTTTTTAAAAGAATGTCAAGCTAAGAATTATGAAGTGATGGAATATAAGACTGATAAGTCAAGACTTATAGACTTAAATATTTTGTCAATTAAGGAGCTTATGCACATCTAGCAGATGCCTGCCTGGCAAGCAATTTTCTGTATTTTGTTCTAATACTAAATGTATAATACATCCATCCTCTGTTAGTCTTTAGGCACTTGACAGGCAGGGACATGCAATATGTATGCACACAGGCACGTGCTGTGCTCAGTTCTAGGTGGGAAGTAATGTTTCTATTGCTGGAAATACTACTTATTAAGTGGACAGAAAATAAGCTTGTGTCAGAATAAGTTCCTTTAATTAGCATGAATTTTTTACTGTTTTATATATATTGTGACTTAAAAATGCGATAATGTCTATAGACCAAATGAAAAAAATCATGTGGCTAAATATTATATTGCATATATTCATTATCTATGTGATTAAAATACTGCTACATAACTTAAATTGTCTTTCATTATATATCGTACATTTTTTTATTAAAAACCAGAAAAGATAAGAAATGTATAGGTCCCCTTTAAATTATAAAATTTGCAATATTTTATCTTGATTCTACTGCAGTCAATATTTCAATCTGCTCTTCAAGAGTGGTTTGTTTTTCTTGAAGACATTTAACAATGTATTTTAATGATTCTATATTTTGTTCTTGTTCTTTTTTAACAAGTCTCGATTCTTCCATGCTTTTCTGCAGTATCTCCACATGTTTTTTAGTTTGTACCACTAGGTCCATAAGTCTTGTATTGAGATGTTCTTGCTTCTTAATCATAAGCCACAAGTTAGCTGCATTAGGTGCATCAGATTTACATTTTAAATCATCTGTAACAAAACTATCTAAATGCATTGGTTCTTTTAAATGAGCCAAATTTAGCTTGATATCGGCAGTCAGGTCTGCTTGTGTCATTCTATTTAATATTTTTTCAATTTTCGTTTTTCCACTGTCAGACTGTAAAAAATAATAGTGTATTAATATTTTTCAATGTAAAAGATTGCCCTCAATGAGAAGTTATTATAAATTACAATTGCTTGTAGCTTATAACAGCTTTCATGACATGATAACAGGTATCAAATTATGATTTCAAATGTTACCTTTCCAATTGACCTCAGTGATAGTGAGTGACTAGCAGAAGAAAATAACGTTGGCACGGCATTTTCTTTCAGTTTCTTTTGTGCATCAAAATACTTTAATTCAAAATGTTTTGAACAGATCTTACTATCTACGGAATCAAATGCAGTGCATCTTTGTTTTAGTACTCTGAGCCATTTATTACTCATTTCAGAATTGTATGGGCATCTGTAAATAAGAAATGAGTTTTATATAGCAGGATTAACCCTAATTCATTAAACCAAGCTTAATGCTTCGTTCAATCAATGACCTAGGATGTATTATTTTCAGATCGGCAATACCCATTGAGCTGATATTTGAGCAACAAATAACTAGTGCTTACAACATGAAAGAAATGTTGGCCCACATTGTATCACTATCTTGTTTATTTCTTTATTATTGTTATCATCTTAATAACCATTCATATTTACGAATATTTTTAAGTCTTGTGGGACAGCTAGACCATAATCTCTTGCCTGAAAATGGATGGCGGTTCACAATGTGATGTTTATGGGTTCCACTTGCATTTCACACCAGGCTGGCCGTGAAGTTGTTCACTCATCTAAGCAATAATTGAAATTTATCACGGTTTATTTTGTTTTAGTGTACTATCTATATGTACATAAATTTAAACATACCGGTGGAAAGTTACATCTGGAGTCTTGTTTACAGATGTAGTTTTGCAATTGTCTATAGCACAGCGTATTATCGGAGCCATCGTCAGTTAATTATGTAATTTTATTTTATAATTTCTCTAAATCCAAATCACAACAAAATTCGTTTTTTGTCTCTTGTTTTTTTTGCACGCTTGCCGCTTGGTGTAATGAATAGGTAAAGGGATCGTACTCAATACAGCCACTAATTTTTATTTTATTAGAAGACTGCGTGTCGAATTGTAGATGTTCTTATAGCCACTGGCATGGTTCTCTAAACACACACACACACTAGGAGGGTAGACAGAGGTAGACAAGGTAGAGGTAGGACAAGTGAAAAAAGTATCCACCTGTAAATAATAAGTTATCTTTGGAGATTCACCGAAACAGCACTACTGTAGGAAGCGGAAATATATGAATATAGCAGTTTTAAATAAAGTGAAGTGTGATAGTGTATGGCGCTGTTTATAAAATCTTTCCACTTGCTACTATGGTGCCACCTTGATTGGCTCCCTTTCAAGGGACACTTTTTAATATACTGAGATGGTCCTCCTTACTTCTACCCTCCATAACTCATACATAATACGAGACCTGAAATAACTGTGGTTCATTAACCATTTATAATCTAAAAAACTACACAAATGTGGGAAAATGAAACAAAGCAGTTGGACGTGGCGACTTATTGAAATTTATAAAAAAAATCCACTCAAACAAATACTAAATTAACAAAATAAATCTATTCGCTTAATACATGCCTGCCACTGCCGCTAAAGAAATACTATGCCCAGCAATCAAACTCTGACCTTTTAGTATAGTATAATTATTATTAATGTTAAGGAAATAAAACACGCTAAATGGTAAAAATGTATTTAGTATCGATGTAGTAATCGAACCAATTATGCAAAAAAACCATTACTAGGGTATTCAAATAATTATAATGTACGCTATATATTATAATATATTTGTAATATTTATACATTATTGAAGTAGATAACAGAATATCTAAGACTTGCGAAAGCCTAAAGATTAATATCGGAATTGCCGTTTTAATTAAATAAATTATTTAATCTATTACACTTATAGCTACGGGCGGTATAAAACGCCAAACGTGACTTATTTCACTCGCACACGGCTGTATGATGGATGGTTGCTCGGGTTCTTTCAGTACAGTGGAGTCTTCTAAAATCGGTTCAGTTGTAGAACATTGGATATCAATTTTATATTCTCCGGGCGTCAAAAAAACCACAGTACACTCGTGGTAAGCTTTAGCTGACTCCCGCAGTGTTGTTAATACCACCCTGCAAATATAAATATATTTTTTTCTTCTTTCCTTCAAAGATAACGATCATATGGCATAGATATAAGCAACCACAGCTGAGCCACCGTGGTGGTAAATTCATTTCAGAGCCAGATGGTAAAATGAAATCTTGGAAACGCACATGGATGAGCGCTGTGGTTCTAGATCAGCGGTCGGAGAACCGGGGTAAATTACCCCAAATGAAACGAAACGAAAAAATAAATATTTTTTTTTTCCCGAAAAAATTAATTTCAATTAAAAAAGCTTTTTATGGGGGCTATATTATGAAAGATGCTAAAAAGAAGCGATTTGGTTTTTTTTGTTCTTCGCCATGGGGTAATATCAACTTACACAAAAATATTTTGGGGTAATAATTAAAAAAGTTCCCCGACCGCTGTTCTAGATAGGAAAGATGAACTTTACTCCAGTGGAGGGTTATGCGATATTAAAATGGAGATGATGGGAACATCTCGGACCATTTCAAATTACACACACGGGTCAAAACATAGAAAAAAATTCCCTCCGTAAACTTAGAGTTTCCGAACGATTTGTGAGATCAAGATTACCAATAAACAGAGCTGCTCCGATCCCTGGGCCTGAGCCCTAGCCAGAGATTGGGGCAGTGTTCCACGTAAGGCTAGCGTGTACTTTATAAAGTCGTAAGGACTTGAACTACCGCTTCACTCTGTTGAAGGCTCCCAGTATTTTAGAAGCAAACTTGATTGAACATTTCAAATTATTCCGGTACTGAACACCGATTCATCTGTTTTACGTTGGTCAAATAAAGAAATACGTACTAATTCGGAAATCAAATTCCATAGGACCGTTTTATTTTACTTCTATTTTGATGTTGAGTACCGACAATGACGTCAATACGTACACAGCATAAATTTGTTTCCAAAAATAAAGTGAGTAGTAGTCAAATGTGCTTCGAATTATGCGTATACCGGCACGCACACTTCACAGCACAACACTTAACTTAAACACCAGTTAAACTCCATACTCATCGACAACTCACTTATTATTTCCGGCAGTAGCAACCCTGTTGTCGAGTTTGTAACTGAAAACGCCGTTGTTATAATCCTGATAGAACTGTACAGAGAGGCATAGTTTGTGCAGCGGTCGGCTCAGGTGATTCCATACAGCCACGCCCAACGAGAGGCACTCGCCCGCCGTACAGTTGAACTCCTCTTGGGGCTTTATGCACTGGCTGTTAATGCTAACCTCTGTAAAACGACAAACAAATTATCGAAATATTAAAAAAATAACCTGACCATTTTCATTGGTCGCATTATAGTCTTCACTTATAGATAACACAGTTCTTTGAAGAAATCGTAACGACCCACTCGGTGTGGCGTCTATAGGTTCTGATTGTTTAACAAGAGATGGGCTGTGAGATCTGTGCGAATTAGGAACAGTTATCTGACGACATGTCTTAATCTTTGGTTCGAGAAAAATGCGTGTACGAATTGAAAACCTATAAGGAATGTGCAGGGGTGACGACAAAACCGTTTGCTTTCGACAGCCAATAAATAGTAATGTACTAAAGATTTCGCTCACCCCAGTTCAGCGGTGACATCCGCACTATATCCATCATAGTTTGCGATAGGGTGATCCCTTTGACGGAAGCCCGACCACTTATATCGGAATGAACCAAGTTCCATCTCAAGTCCGTGTTGTTGGTTATGTGTTCGGAGCACATTAGCTCGAGGCTGTTTGTCGACGTTCCCGTGCTTATCGATTTTGAGTCTGTGGTATCTGAAATAAGATACAATTTGTAGGACTTTTTGGCGGGAACGCGAGGAGTGAAGTTGTGTGATTTGTTTTATTTTATCGATTTAGTGTTTCTTCAGGCTTAAATGTGTAATAATGGTGGTTTATTAACTGTTTAATATCTGTGAAAGTGCACAAATGTGGGAAAATGAAACAAAGCCGCTGGATGTAGCTTCTCGGGATCCTCCAAAAAGTCCACTGAAAAAATCTCAGTAACTGACCACCATTTTACCGAGATTATATTTCATCCCATATCATCTCATCTCATTTCACTTCATTTCATCACAGTTGATTAATGTCTCAAAGTCATCATCCTTATTTCATTTCATTTCACTCCATATTATCAATTTCCATAAAAATAAGAATATAAATTAAAATAAGACATGACTTTAAGGCAGGTCACAAAATTCCTTTAAAAAAAAGATACGATTTGTAATTTTTTCTTTGCTCTATTCTCTCTATTAAGTTTCCAAGCTCAATGGTTTCTAGAGTACTCTCTGAGGCACGTGGACAGTATGAATTAAATTACAATTATCAAAACTTTTTATCGTCTTGACGTGTGAACGAACTCACAGACCAGCTGGTGTTTTTTTTAATTGCTAAAATGGGGAGACGAGCTCACAGCCCACCTAGTGTTAAGTGGATACTGGAGCCCATAGAAATCTACAAGGTGAACCCTTCAAACCGAAAATATGGTGGTAGGACCTCTTGTGAGTCCGCACGGGTAGGTACCACCACCCCGCCTATTTCTCCCGTGAAGCAGTAATGCGTTTCGGTTTGAAGGGTGGGGCAGCCGTTGTAACTACACTGAGACCTTAGAACTTATATCTCAAGGTGGGTGGCGCATTTACGTTGTAGATGTCTATGGGCTCCAGTAACCACTTAACAACCAGATGGGCTGTGAGCTCGTCCATCCATCGTAGCAAAAAAAAAACTTCGCCAATGAAAAATCAAATAATAAACGCGAAATAAACAAACAATGAAACTATATAGTTGTAACCATGTCAGGCTATTTGGTTTAAGCGGCATTTCGTTTAATACGTGATATTTATCTTTGTAATTAAAGTTCCTTTTTGTTTGGTATAAGCATCAACGGTTCGATGTTTTTAATTGAACTTCAATTAAGTTTCTCTCCTCCATTTAAATAGCCGTAGAAGTTTTATCGTAATGATATTTTTTTTTCTAATTTTAATCTTTAAATAGTTCTCCTGTAAAGTTGCAAAAATTTCTTTTACTCCAAATAACCGTTCACCTCTCGAGAAATATATATTTTTATTACATTATTATTAAGTTTTAGTAGTTAACATTAAAATTTTAACATCTGACATCCATGGGCGACGGTAGCCACTCACCATCAGGACAAGGACATTTTCTTTTATGAATAACTAGCGACCCGCCCTCGCTTCGCTTCGGAAACATTAAAACAAACATGAAACCAAAATAAATAAATAAATAAAAAATAAAAAAAAGTAGCCTATGTTCATCAGGGACAATGTCGGCTTCTAATGGAAAAATAATTTTTCAAATCGGTCCAGTAGTTTCGGAGCCTATTCGAAACAAACAAACAAACAAATCTTTCCTCTTTATAATATTAGTATAGATAATATTGTAATAATAATTTATTTATTCTTCTTTTAAAGGTACTAGTGGTCCACCGGTAGTCGAAATTCGACTATAATTAATTGAAATTATAAGTTTTTACACTATTACGATTCTATTGTCAAAGACTATTATTATACTTCTATAAATCACAGATTTCGCCAAGACTACACTTTAGACAAATACTAATAAAGACAAACAATATTTAATTTATTCTCAATTTAACCACAGACTATAAGCAATAAGAAAAGTTTGACATTAAACAAATAATATGTGTGTAATGTTTTTTTGATTGATTTAATGTATTTTTTTTTCACAATTAAAAAAAATATTAACATTCTGCACTCCTTCTCTATATTCTCTATATGTGTGGGAAATTTGATACTCCTCTGTCCGCGCAATTTTCGTAAAAAGGGTACAACGTTTTTGCCTCACGTATTAATATATTTTATAGATAGTACAAATACAAATAGAAATTAACCTTATAATTTTTTTTTAAGCCTTTGTTAGAGCTGAAGCCAGTACTAGGTTCAAAGACCTGTATTACTGATCTCCTCTTAAGGATACTTACCATCATCGCTTTTTACATTCGTATTGCTAAAAGGACACCTGTCTAACGGTACGGGAACTCTACAGGATTCCTTGCTCTCGATCAGAATATGTTTGTTTGGCGCATAATGAAAGTCCATCTCCTCAGACGTAAGATTTGTTACGTCTAACACTAAATACAGTTGCGATGCACTGCGGACAAACACATATGATAACAAAATTCTAAATATCAAAATTACATCATTGCACTATGTTCCGTTATTATTATCACTTTTATACTATATTTATTAAAATCATATACCTTTAAACGAGCAATTCTTCTATACTAATATATATATAACCTGAATCTCGGAAACGGCTCCAACGATTTTCATAACATTTAGTATACAGGGGATTTCGGGGGCGATAAATTGATCTAGCTACGATTTATTTTCAGAAAATGTTGTTATATTCGTGTTTTCAATAATCAACTCTTCCCGACATCTATTGGCGAATAATAATACTATTTTTCTTAATTGAGGACAACTAACCGCTTTAAAGACACAACAAGATGGCGTTATCAAAAAAAAGAAATCGTCTAGTTTTATTAATAACACACAGTGGTAGGCAGCGGCTTGATTGTGGTAGGCAGCGGCTTGGCTCTGCCCCTGGCATTGCTGAAGTCCATGGGCGACGGTAACCACTCACCATCAGGTAGGCCGTATGCTCGTCTACCTACAAAGGCAATAAAAAAAAAACACACAATAAAAACAGATTGCCACTGATGGCGATGTCTACGTTACAAGGCACAAGTGGTTAGGGCTCCAGAGTGAGAAACCTCCTTACAATACGCGCAGTATTGAGGATAAGTGCCTTCTGTACCAGGGCCCTAACCCAGCTGGATAACGAAAGTTTCTTAAGGTGTTGGTCGATCGGACGAGGCCGTCTCTCGGGGTGGGGTGGCGCTGGCGGTGTCTCTTGACATCGCCAACGCATTTAACACTCTGCCCTGGACCGTGATAGGGGGGGCACTGGAGAGGCATGGAGTGCCCCTCTATCTCCGCCGGCTGGTTGGGTCCTATTTGGGGGCCAGGTCGGTCGTATGTACCGGGTACGGTGGGACCCTTCATCGTTTTCCGGTCGTGCGTGGTGTTCCACAGGGGTCGGTTCTCGGCCCCCTCTTGTGGAATATCGGGTACGACTGGGTGCTGAGGGGCGCCCTCCTCCCGGGCCTCCGCGTTATTTGTTACGCGGACGACACGTTGGTCGTGGCCCGGGGGGATGATTTTAGGGAGTCTGCCCGTCTCGCCACAGCGGGAGTGGCCCTCGTCGTCGGAAGGATAAGGAGGCTGGGTCTCGACGTGGCGCTCAATAAATCCGAGGCTCTGTGGTTTCACGGGCCGCGGAGGGCGCCACCCGTTGACACCCACATCGTGGTTGGAGGCGTCCGGATAGGGGTCGGGGTGCAGTTGAAGTACCTCGGCCTCGTGTTGGACAGCCGGTGGGCCTTTCGTGCTCACTTTGCGGAGCTGGTCCCCCGATTGATGGGGACGGCCGGTTCTTTGAGCCGGCTGCTCCCGAATATTGGGGGACCGGATCAGGTTGTGCGCCGTCTCTACGCGGGGGTGGTGCGATCGATGGCCCTGTACGGTGCACCTGTGTGGGCTGAGCCGCGCAACCGGGCCACTATGGCTCGGTTCTTGCGCCGGCCGCAGCGCACCGTTGCCATCAGGGTCATCCGCGGATATCGCACCGTCTCCTTCGAGGCGGCGTGTGTTTTGGCGGGGACGCCGCCATGGGAGCTGGAGGCGGAGTCGCTCGCTGCCGACTATCGGTGGCGCAGCGAGCTTCGTGCTCGGGGCGTGGCGCGTGTCCCCGAGAGTGAGCTGCGGGCGCGGAAGGCCCATTCTCGGCGGTCCGTGCTCGAGTCGTGGTCGAGGCGATTGGCCAACCCCACGTGGGGGCTACGGACCGTCGAGGCGGTTTACCCGGTCTTTGATGACTGGGTGAATCGTGGCGAGGGACGTCTCACCTTTCGTCTGGTGCAGGTGCTGACCGGGCACGGATGCTTCGGGAAGTACCTGCGCCGGATAGGGGCTGAGCCGACGACGAGGTGTCACCATTGTGGACACGACCTGGACACGGCGGAGCATACGCTCGCTGTCTGCCCCGCTTGGGAGGTGCAGCGCCGTGTCCTGGTCGCAAAGATAGGACCTGACTTGTCGCTGCCTGGCGTCGTGGCGTCGATGCTTGGCAGCGATGAGTCATGGAAGGCTATGCTCGACTTCTGCGAGTGCACCATCTCGCAGAAGGAGGCGGCGGGGCGAGTGAGGGAAAGCTCTCCTCACTACGCAGAAACCCGCCGCCGCCGAGCAGGGGGTCGGGACCGGGGTCGTATCCGTGACCTGGCCCCCTAAGAGCTAGGGGTCCCACCCGTTTTGTGCGGGGAGGGACCCAGACGAGGGGTGGCGTGCTCTGCACGCTCACCCGCAATAGGAAGCCGGGTGATGGTAGACCGCGTTCCCCCGACCGCTCTGGGGGAAGGTGTAACGCGGCGCCATCAAAGCGGGCTCTCGGCCCGCTGAACGAGGGAACCGGTGGTCGTTTCGCTGGCGGCCACCGGTCCGGCGTCCGTGGGACGGTGGGATGGATGTAATGTGCTCTGCGTCAACCCTGTCCCGCCGTTTCAATAGCCCCGACTGGGCTCCGGCCCGGTCCGAGGTAGGGCGCCGGTTGTGAGCGGCAGGAGTTTTTAGTGAGGTTCAACTCCCACATACCCCACCTGCCGCGCGGGTGGGGATCCGGCGATTTTCTCCTGTGGAAAAAAAAAAAAAAAAAAAAAGGTGTTGGTCGAAAATTTTATTTTATTTTATTGCACTAAACTCTGGTAACCCCTCAACACCAGGTAGGGTACGAGCCCGTTCACTAAATAACTAATTCAATAAATTTTATATAAAATACACTTACATTTCCGCTGGCAGCACATCCCAATGCGTTATAGAGACACTAGGCAACAATTCTAGATTGATTTGTAAGGTAGATTGACGACAATGAACATCTTTTCCTTCGCCACCAGAATATCTTAAAATAAGCTGCAGAAAATGAAATTTATAGGTTATTTTTTTTATATTCACATCCGGTTTTAGAAGAAAAATAATTCCCGTTACGATTTCATTACATAAACATTGGTACCTAAGATTAACCTTTTAACATAGCAAACAGTGACGTCACAAGCCGATGGTCCACATTCCAATTATATTTTGAACTGTAATATTGAATATAAATTATACTATAAACAGATCATAGTAACTTTAAAAAAAAGAAGTTACGAACACATTGAAGTCGCCGTGGTCTAAAGGATAAGACGCCCGGTGCATTCGTAAGGAGCCATGCGACTGTGTCGGTGTTCGAATCCCGCAAACAGGTACCAATTGAAGACTGAGTGGATGAAGGGGTTAAGTACCATTTTTAAGAGTTTTGAGTTTTTACGTTGAATGAAGGTGTTATGTGCTTATAAACCATATTAGACCTTAAAACTCCGGGTTTAAAGGTTGTTTTTAATAATTGCATGTGTTGAAGGAGTTACTTACCAAGAAAAAGTACAAGTAACAAAAGTTTGTTGCTCGTTTTCTCAAAATTAACAAATTTTATTATATATCCCCTTCATCCACTCATGTCTTAAAATTTTCTAATGAAACATACTTAACAACGGACTTAACAAATGTTCACGAATGAAGGAACTTCCACGGTAAGGAATATCATTACGACAAAAAAATTAATATAATTTGCGTAATTACTGATGGTCGATCGTTTTGTGAATACGCACGGGTAGGTAATAAAATTTGGTATTTATTCTTTATTTTTAATTAGAGTATATTTTTTTATTTATCAAGAAATATATTTTTTTATTTTTTATTTTGAGTTCCCAATAGCTCTACTATGAGGTGTTTCAGGATTATCCATTCTTTCTGGGACACCCAGTATATGAATATTGTATGTAATTGTCTAACCTGAGACTCGATTTGACGACCTCTGGAGGGGGGCATAACTGATATAGGCGCGGACCAGCTGGTCGCGTAAGAATTAGTCGATCTGGAAACGATTCGTAATATTAATTGTTCTAGAAAGTTCTATTTCAGACATGCATTAATCAGACTTTGTACTGAACGTATTTATTTCTTTCAATCGCATATTATAATAATGGCTGTGAACAAATCACGCACAGTCATCCGGCTCCAATTTAGGAGTCGGGTACCAGAGATTGACAAACATATTTTGTACGTTTAAATGTATGTATGTATACATATATAGATAATAAACACTCAGACAAAGAGTAAACAAATCTGTTCATCACACAATGTTTTCCTGATGTGGGAATCGAACCCACGACCCTCGGCGCATCAGTACCGGTCGCTAGCTACTGCATCAGCGAGTCGGTCAAATAGCATATAATATGTACATATTATGTTAGTGAAACTGAAATTCTCTAACAAGACATTCAGTTTATGGTGAAAGACGAACCTATTTATTAATAATAGTTAAAACTAAGAAATTTTAAATATAGTTTTATCTATTAGTTAACGTGAGGGTATATGTATATATTAATCGATTAATTATATCTATCATTAATCTATTAAACGGAAGTTTTAGAGAAGTTCACAAGATCTAGTGGACAATTATATGTTTACCCCATATGTACCTCAGCGATGCAATACCCTCCAATAGTCCAACTTAGATGGGCGGTAGGCAACGACTTGGCTCTGTCCCTGCTGAAGTCCATAGGCGACGGTAACCACTCACCATCAGGTGGGCCGTATGCTCGTCTGCCTACAAGGGCAATAAAAAAAAGATAAAAATGTCATATTTGTAAATCTCGCGACACCGTGGTTGAGAGCCGCTGGTCTAACATGTAAATTCACCTGAAACTTCCCGAAGTTCTGTGCGGCATAAGTCCACTGCTCAATGAGTTTTGAGGATTGGAACTCTGCGTGGGCAGGGAAGTCTGAGCATTGGGTACCGGCGATCCTACCCTTGACGGATAATTAGAGGTCAAGCTGTTAGGAAATAGGTTTTCCCCGCCCACACCGCCTAGATCTAGGAAATCTGCTTCGCCGTATAACTTTATGGTTATCGTAGCGGTTCGGTCCGGAGCGATGGGCAACTGCGACTGAATATCCTCGTTTGAGAATTGGAATATCTTAGATTGAAGTGCAGTATCGATGTTTGACTGAAAAAATAAATCGTAGGAACATTAGATACCAAAATGGAACTTGTTACATTTGTTTTGTTAAGAATATTTTTTTTCTATTTCATAATTGAAAAATTAGGAAAGCAATTAAGCATTAAACGATGACTGTTCGTGTGTGTGGTTTGTAAATATTCGAACGAAGCTTGGACGTAAAGTTGGTATCACATTAAAGTTAAGATCACCTAGTTTAAATTTTAGAAAAAAATAATAGTTTTCTCATAAACAACAAAAAGTATGTAGTAATGTTTTTAATTACCTGTATAGCCAAGTCAAGGTATTCGATAGGTACAGAATTAGTGTTCGTGATTTTAATTGTACAGTCTGTGCTCTCTCCGTTATACAAAGTGACATTTGTAGTGCTGCCCACAGTTTCAGTTGACAACCCCGCGTTCCCAGATGGCGTTACGGTCGTCTCTATAGCGATCGTGGGGAGACTCGGTATTACTTCAACGGTAAACGACGCCGGGAATTTGTTCGGCATCGGCATATTCTTGAGACGACAGTTCGATTTGACACCGAGCGTGTGTGTCGAGTAGCCTAGTATTTGCAATTCCCCTATTTCCTTCGGGGTGCCGTGTAAGTTCACCGTTGTCGGCGAGTCGGGCGGTAATATTATTGTTTCCGGTATAGATTCGAACACAACGCCCGACGTTAGCAGACGCATGTTCGAAACTTTCAACTCGAACGGTAGCGGGTTGGTCAACTTCATTTGTACCTCGCAGATATCACCTTCGACCCATAGGTATTCTGTAATATAACAATTGTTTAACATCAGAACTAATTATATTAAAAGAACCAAATTTTAGAGTTATGTAGCGGTCGTATTTCCATAGCCTTAGATGTTTGCGCAAGAATGAAATAGCCATGCAGTACTCAATTTCATTTCCTTTACTTGGAACAAGATCATCCTTGTAGGCCCACCTGGAATTAGATGGCCGTCGGAGCCCACGGACATTACAACGTGAATCTTTATTACCTAACAGCAGTCGTACAAAGTGGAACTTATAAGTTCTTCGTGGCAGAAATAGGCAAGATCATGGATATATATGTCCCCTAAGCCCCTTGTAACCAGTAATTTAGCCAATTAAGATAATTTTTTTAAGACGATGGTATTCCTTAGTTATGGAAGTCATTTGTAAACATTACTTAAGTATGTAACATGTAAAGAATTCCTATGTTTCCTTGTAAAAATTGGTACTACTTTAAGCTGCTAATAGTCCATTCACAAAAGTTCGAAAAGGTAACTTAGTTGATGGAAGTCATCTGGCTAGGCCTCGGTAAACACTTAAACCAATTCGTCCAATTGTCGTCGCTAATAAGCAAAATAAAATTTTCATAATTATCGAGAACTCACCCATTTTCCCTTCTTGTTTCTTAGCGTTCCTCTCCAAGCTGCCGAAGTGTATCGGTGTAAATATGAAAGGTCCGTGGTGGGCCTTCGATTTAACGAGATGCGGAGCCCTCGCCGGAGGTAACGGCCTGGGTGTGAACCAAGAACAGTTCGGTACGTGACTGAGGTTCGCTGGTGGAATTACCTCGCCTGTTTCCAGCACGAGAGGAACCGGACCCCCTTCGCATTGCGCTGATAAAGCCTTGAAGTTAACGAACAAAAAATTTTTAATTCTTGCAACACTAATTTATGAATTTTGTTGAAAGATGTTTTCATTTTTAACGAGTTACAAGTTTTTTTCTATATCCATACACATACATAATTAAACAATAGTATTTAATGAATACTAGTAAATTGTTAATAATTTTTAGACTTCAAATATGTGTCAAGATGATTATCAAATGGTCCTGCATATTCTGTAGCTGTGATTATAATTATTAGAGGGTGCAAGAAACGATAGGTTAGTACTTGAACGATCCGATAGATACCTGCAATTGTATGGCCAGATCTCGATGTTCCTGCTTGGTCAGATGAGGCCACATCGTTTGAAGTAAAAACGTCATGTGCCTTGTCGCAAGAGCCGGGTGACCCATCCTACGGGCGGCCACAACTAGTTCTTGTAGTAACTGAATCTGAAGCGCTGGCCAGCCTTGCGTAACACAATTAAATTATAAGTGATATATGTTTCACAGAAATTTAGTTTTTTTTATAAAGATTTTAGGACCTGGTAACATGACCTTTAAGCCAAGTCTTATAATTTCTACTTTTATTGTTTTATGAAGTATGATATCAAACGAAATGAGATAAGAGAGAAGCGAATGAGACAACGTTATTAATTTTTTAATAAGTTAAATAAGTTGAAAGTTATTAATTTAAAAGTCGCTTCGAATATAAATTCGAAATTATTCTTATTTTATATTCGCTTTTTATCCGTTTTATAAACGTACTTAAAGAAGTCTGCTATTAAAGTTCGCTAGTTTTTTGGTATTCTAGGCTAGTTATCAAGAAATTTATCTGCTGTAAGGGATCATTGAAATGAAAAATAATAACATCTGTGCGAAATACTTACCAACTTGGTGTTGTAGAACGTAATTGGGATCTAAGCTAAGTTTGTGTCCTGGGAAGCTGTGCAGCATGAGATAGTAGCACCGTTGCCAATCTGGATTCGGGTTATTCGGGCTAACCTGTCTCGTCGCCGCCAATCGTTGGCAAAATGCTGCTTTACGGAGGAAACCTGAAAAAATTATTATCTCTACAAATTTTATCAACAAAATTACTAAATTTAACGTTTAACTCTAAAAGTCCGACTGGCGGGGCTTTTGTGAGTTCGGTATTCCGGGCGGTTGGCGAAGATGATAATAATATGGAAATAATGTTGACACTGATTTGTATGAGGTTTTAATATAAAAGCGACACAATAACTAAATTAAAATAAAATACAAAATGAGTTGAGAACAGTACAGATAAACTAAGACTGACAATATTTTGCCGGTCGTCGTCGCGCGCGATGAGGGCGTGTGTTTTCGCGCTCCGAGAGCCAGAGCTCTGTCTCTGATGATGTCTGAGATCTGTCTCAGCGGGGGGTAAGGCGGCGGCGGGGGCGGTATCGCACGCTCGGATATTTGGTTCCGTTATAAATGTCATTATTTATTGATATATTAATTACCAGCTTTGCCCGTGACGTCAACCGCGTGAACTTAGGTAGTCGCTTGGAAGTTCATTTACATAAATCATGTTTTAGAACCAAGGTGTAATTTAAGAAACTAACAACGCCATATATGCTTTATAGATAAGGTAAGCAACGGTAATTTCTTAAAATTTTAATAATTTTACCATAAATGGAGAATTCATGTTTTAGCTTTAATAAACAACAACAGTATTGATGAAGTGAAACTAAAAAGTTAATATCAAAATATATTCATTATAATTATAATTGTTTTTTGCTGATGAATCCGTGTAGCAGTAATGCGTTTCGATTTGAAGGGCGGGGCAGCCGTTGTAACTATACTTGAGACCTTAGATCTTATATCTCAAGGTGAGTGGCGCATTTACGTTGTAGATGTCTATGGGCTCCAGTAACCACTTTACACCAGGTGGGCTGTGAGCTCGTGCACTCATCTAAGCAATAAAAAAATAAAAAAAGAACTCTTCTAGCCGAATAAATAATACTTACCAATATCTTTATAAAGTTCGGCTAACGTGTCAAATCGTTGTATCTTCTCCTGTTCGCTCAGCGTCAAGTTAATGAATATCACGTTCTGTAGAAAGCTGGACGCGTGTAAACTATTGTTCTGCTCAACCGCTATCCGGGCTGCCTTGAAGCAAGCCTCGGTTTCAATGATACCGGCGTTCTGGTACTTGCTGTAGTGGATTATCGCCTTGCGATACTTTTCCGCGATTTCTTCTCCGTTCAACAAATATTGGTTAGTGATCTGCGATGGCGGTTGCCGCGGTATCGACGGTAGTTCTGTGCTTAAATAGGATTTGGGGCTTTGGTATTCAATATCGCTGGACGAAGCTAAGGACTCGGTGTCACCGTTATCAGTCTCCGATTGTCTTGAGGACGTGTCAATGCTCTCTGAGGAAGTCGGAGTTAATTCACTCGGTGGATTAATCGGACTCGACGTTTTGGAATTACGTAAGGGTGACGAATTCATTTTGAACTTTCTAAATGGATCAGTTGGCTGGAAGAGAGACAAAGGCTTGCTTTTGCTCGGCGAACTTTCTTGAAGGCTCGCGTTTCGCTGCAGCGGTGTGGAGTTACGTAAATTCGGATACAGTAGTATAGCAGACGACGCACACAATCCTGCAACGACATTAAACTATAGTGATACTTGTGCTTAAAATAAATTAATAAACATTAAAAAAAAAAAACTTTGTGTTAATATACTTTAAAAACTAAATCAGTACCCGACGTCACTGATCAAGTGGTATCACTGGTCATCACTGGTAATGCTGGGATTATGATTATATTTCACCACCGCACCACTCACTACCGGAACCGAGGTCATCCCTATTACATTCAGTTCTTGCTTTTATCCCCAGTGCAAATCAAAAGATGGCTTTTAAGATTCATACATAGTATTTCCCGGGAGCTATGACATCCTCGTAGTTGATTTTCTCCTGGTAGTGTTGACATTCATTTACGACTGTAACCATCACTCACGTAGATAGTGACTGACCCTAAGCGGCAATTAAAAACTATGAATTTATTTTAGTGATTACCCACCTTCTTTAGCAGCGGCTAACCACAACCAATCATTGACCGATTTCAGTATTTCTGCTGCAGAGTGATACAAATTCAAGCTATCAGCAACTAACCCAGCTTGGAGAGTCAAATCTGCCAAATTTTTTGTCACCCGGCCCATACAACGTTTTTTATTGTTACGCGATTCCATATCTAAGCCTGAGGGGTAAGGAACATTTTTGGCTATGAGTAAGAAATGACATGACAAATGGTAATTTGGTCATTTAGTAAAATAAAACAGCTATGAAGGTTCTTTGTTATCAGACATCACTGTTACTTATGCATTGAAGTCACATGGGCTAAGTCTTCCTCTTTAATCGTTAGGTCAGTCGTCTTCTTCCTTACATCGTAAGACGCCCAGTGCATTTGTATCGAGCAATGCGACTGTGCCGGTGTTGGAATCCCGCTTGCTGGTTCCAATTGTTCTAATGAAATACATGCTTAACAAATGTCCACAAATGAGTTTGACAGTGAGGGAATAATATCGTGTTATATACCAGACTGGCAAAAATTTGAATTTGCATCATTACTGGTGGTAGAGCATCTTGTGAGCCCGCATGGGTACGTACCACCACGTCACCTATTTCTGATCCTGATTATATATAATCAAATACGGTATTGAACTGTAAGCTTGTGCTATAGTGTAAATTAAAGGGAACATTAGTGATAATCTGGAGGTGACAGGTATATTATTTTCCATTTTCAACTTTCAATATTGTATAGCTTTAATTTTGTTTGCATCCGATACATTCCTGATTACTATTAAAATTGATCTTTCTGGAGTTGTAACAAAGTTCAAGTTTGATTTGTTATTTGAAAATTGGCAATCTTTGAAATATTTTAAAAATGTGTGATTTCAATAAAACTTGTTCTTTTAAAAAGTTTAAAGATTGGTTTGTGCAGAAACTTTCATTATTAATACTAGGCTCATACCTACAAAATCCTTTTTTTCAAAGGGGGCTAGTAGGAGAGAAACCTTTTCTAATTTCTCTCTAGATCTTTCCAAACGCTTAGACTCCACCACCCAGAAAAGTGAATTGATAAGATCTGCCACATTCTGCTCTAAGTCTGGAACAGGATCGTTTTCACCATAAAACATTGCATGAGTTTTGAAATTTGAAGGTGTGGTGAAGTTTTCTTCTTGGGTATATGATGTAGTTGATGAAGTGGATCGTGGGAAGCTTTCCGATGATGACAGACTGTCCATGTGTTCACTTGGAATTGATGCTCTGAAAAAGTATTTTAGAAGTTTATTTATTACTAATTGGAATTAACACACTTTACACACACATTACTTATACAAATATCAAAAAAGTATTTTTAATATAACAATTTGTAAAGTTAGTTTTAATTATTATGTTTTTTAGTTTTATTACATTAAAATTATCTCACTTTTCAGATAGGTTACATTCTTGTTTGATGGTTTTCTCGCCTTCAAAGATACTGTATGTTTCAGGTTCTTGTTCGGGCTTTTTCATGTTGCTAATAGGTCCAAACATAAATGCTCTGGAGTCATACAGAGTATTGGAGTATTTTACTTTTAAACTTTCATGTACTCTACACACTTCATTCAATTCGACTTGATTAGTGAATTTGCTTAGAGTTATCAAGCCAAGTAGTCTCCTGTGATGAAAGTAAATGTACTCATTAGAAAATTTATTTACTTTACATCTAATACAATGTTTTGTTAGTGTTAACAATTTTCACATTTTCCACAGTATTATTAGCACTGGCAGTTGAAACATCAGGCACTCATTAAAGATCATATGGACAACAAAATTATAATAATAACTTATTAAATTATACTATTTATAATGTTGTTTCATGTTGCTATTTATATAAATGTCATTTTGTAGAATTCCACAATTCGTATGATACTAACCGATGAGTCTGAAAGTCTCCCCAATCATTATTCTCAACAGGGTAGTCTCTGACATAGCGTACCCATATGTCTCTCACCTGCCCTGCGGAGTCTGTGGATATAAACGATATAATAAATTCTTCTAATTTCAAGAATTATTAGTGGATTCTTTGGGGAAAACTGTCATACCAGTCACTTTGATAGTGTTGATTCTCTGTATTCGCTCCCAGAGTTTATTGAAATTTTTCAACATGCCGCCTATTCCCTTGACGAGCACTAGAAGGCATGCGTGATGTTGGGCGTGCTGCCCATAGTCTGGATGAGACATCACAGATTCTCCTGGGGCGTGAGACAATATATAGCTCACTGAAGAGCGCATTGATATCTCATTTGATTATTCTGTTTTCACTACTGTGGAGCCTGTGTTATGTGATCTGTGTTTTGTATCCATTCGAAACCAAACTTATTGCTGGTGATTTGTTTTGGATTTTATTTATATTTGTTTACGTTGCGATTTTTTTGGGCGTTTTGACAGTTTCAAGAGAGGATCGACAAGTTTGCCGAAATGTCAAGCTAGTGTTTTGTCCACTTCAATAGACCAAGGGAACTAACGCCAAAAGACTAAATCTTTAAAGCAAAAACTAATGGAATGGAATTAAGTTTGATAACTGTTGGACCTCAGTTTAATTAAGCATTAATATAATTTTTCGGAGAATTCAGGAAGATATGTTCAGTGTAGTTTTTACATTTTCCACAGTTCAGACTTTTCAGAAATACTATTATTTAATGTTAAACCTAGGGAATCTCTTCGTAATACTTTTTTATGATTCCGCAGCTTTCAGCGAGCTTAACGAGATCATTATCTACTGTATTATTACTTTATTACACAGGGTATTATAGATAATATACTTAATAATATTAAATATTAAGTAATATTAAGTACTTTTTAAATATTAAGTTAATATTTAAACAGTGTATTGTCACAGTACTGTGTACTGTTTGAAAAGAGCAGAATGAAATAAAGATAATTTTTTAGAAATTGATTACAGGATAAAATATAATTAACTAAACGACAAGACAATGAGAAGCCACTCTGTGCGTATTTGTTGGATTTTCCAAAACTTGTGCACTTTTCATTCTGTCTATCGATTTCTGGCACTTAGCTTATTTTTTGATTATTCGTACCTATGATTTTGTTTCCTTTACCGATCCATTTGGAAAAAAATCAGAAACCTTAACCTCAAACTTGAAAGAAAGAAAACAATAATATAAATTCCAAATAGTTCAAAACTTTAATCAAATAAGAATAAAGTAGGTAGTGATTTGAAATTTGATAATTGTAATACAAACATGGCATCCAAAGAAGGAGGTGAAAAGTCAAAAGTATGTAGTCCTAACATTAATGCCCCTTATCGAAACGATGCATATTATGATTCTTAAAAGACATTGTTTTTAGGGCAGCCAAGTAACAGGAGATAATAAAGAAAAGAGAAGGAAAGAATCTATATTAGATCTTAGCAAATACTTGGAGAAAAGCATCCGTGTAAAATTCGCAGGAGGGCGTGAAGCGGCGGGAATTCTTAAAGGCTATGATCCCCTTCTAAACCTTGTGCTAGACAATACTACGGAGTTTCTAAGAGGTAAAATTTAAGTTAGCCAAGCTATCCCTATTCTCATTAGCATAAAATTAGAATATGTGCAACTAACTATTTTGGCAAACCTTTAAAACATGATTGTACTAGCAATGATGTATTGACAGTCAGTTCCTATAAACTTTTGTTAACCTGCATGTCTAATAGAAGATATTTAAAAACAAAAGAGGGAGGGAGAAAAGTAGAGTATATTGATTATCTGTTTTTCCATTAAAACAAAAAAACAAGAACAGAAGTAAAAATAAACAATACAATGTGGTACCTTAAACCTCACTTATTTGGCTATTATAATAGGTGTAGGTACATAAGAAAATTGTTTTATATGTTAATGCTAGTAGGCAGAAACCTGCTGTGCCTTTCAGACAGAACAAGCAGTTTGCTTCTCTGCCATTATATATCAATATATGCTTAATTGAAGTTAATTTATTTTCTGGGTTTATCTTTTTACTGATGACTAGTGATCTGATCATGATTTGTGCCTATCTATCACTTTGTGTGTAATGGTATGAAAAACATTAATTGCTTGAGACAACTTTAGTAACCTACTTCCTTTAACATGTAAACAAGCATCATAACAACATTTCCTTATAAATTATTTATTTCTTCACAGATCCTGATGACCCATACAAACTTTTGGATGACACAAGAGCTTTAGGTCTTGTTGTTTGCCGAGGTACATCAGTCGTTTTAATATGTCCAATGGATGGTATGGAAGCAATACCAAACCCTTTTATTAATCAGGAAGGATAACTGTAATTTTGATAAGAATAAATTTTTAAATAAGGCATTTACATTTTCTTGTGTATTATAACAAATATCATGATTTTCAATAATCAGGTAAGTTTCATGTAAAATGAATTTACTAAAATTACTGATCAGTAATCAATTGTTGAAATTACATATGAGGCACCTCTCTTACCTTAGTGGTACTTGTATAGAAACCTTTCATGAAGAGCCTACAAAAATTGTATCAAGTTTCACAACAAGCTGATGAACAGTTCAAGAATGCATAATGGACCAACCAACATTCATAATGACATTGATTTTTATTCATATAGACAGATAATAATTTAAAAATAATTTATTAATGAAAATATAAAAACAAGCTTAAAAATATGTAACCATTAAAATCTAAAAATATTGCACAAGAGAATATCCAAATAAATCAAAATGAACATGTTTCAATGGCCTAAAAAAATCATTGTCTGATGCCCAATTTTCCAGACAAATTTCCTAATACCCTTATAAGATATATACAGCAGTAAAATATTTATTTACTTTGTGTAATTGTTTGTAAATAGTAATTGTAGTTTTTCCAACTTTCTCTTATTTTATTTCAATTCATTCTGAATTAACTAGAATAAAAATAAAACGAAACTATTCAAATCCGAATTCATTTCTTATCCATGGATAACTCTTTGGGCATTCAGTACAGGTAATCATGTATTTATCATGCTCCAATACTTTGGAAGGTAATTTACATGTGTTTGGTTTGGCACAGGCTATTTCAGCTTCACGGAAATGTCGCCCCTTACATTGCCAAGGCTGAAACTTCTTTAATTGTACCACCGGCGTTGGTCTCTTTATCCAATCAAGAATCTCTTTGTAGGTGACAAAGTATACGTCAGGTAGTTTTTGCAACTCATTCAAGAAATTCTGAAAATATGAAGAGCAATATCAACCAATTTGCTTAGTGTCCAGAGATTTATTCATAATTATATTCAGGAAACTTGGGCATTCAAGAAAAGTCAGTCTGTTTCATTAATGCGTTTCGGTTTGAAAGCTGGAACTCTTAATAAAATATAGCCTGCCTATATAGAGCAAATATGAAAGAAAAAACTCGTTTGTGTTCTATACTGACTAAACCATCAGCCTGCGACTCTGCAAACCCTAGAGATCCTCGATATTCAACATCGACAGTCACTGAAAAAATTAGGCCCTTTGCATATTTGCTGTTGAAATAAGCCTCACCTTAAAAGCCACCAAGTACTCATTATTTCTTAACCACGTAGAACTTAAGTGAATTCCAAATGGTGCACGATTGGTTAGGTAATGCCTCTTAAAGTTGTTTATGAGAGCATCATAAACGTCATCTCCCGTTTGAATGAATGGGCAATTATCCAGAATGGCGCATGTATTTTCACCTTTGACGAGCGGGTTTATGACCATTTCCCACAGACTCGCGTAACTTCTTGTCGGGCAGTATTGATTCTTACCTGAAAGTCCAGAATATTATGTGTTTAACTTACTTAAAACCTTCATAGTCGTTTCTGGTAAGTTAAATAGGGTAGGTAATATTGTATACCTATGAATAATTACAAATTAGTTTACGGAATTAAAATCATGTCTGAATACCCAAAAAATATAGCCAATTACCAAAGATAATAAGATTATGTACCTATGTAGGTACCTTTAGGCCGGTTACAGTGCTCCACCGACCGTCTGTGCGTACGTTCCGTCCTGACGGTACGCATGAACCGATCGTCAGTTTGCTTCATTCAGTGCTCTCCTGACCAACAATCTGACCGGATTGGTATAGTCGGTACGCAAAAGGGAAGCGTTTGCAAATAGTTTAATTGCTGCTTATTATTTTCGAAAACGTTTAAGGAACGTTTAAGTTTTTTTAATTATTTCAGAATGTCTATCAAGTTTTGATGAATTATCAGCACATACTTCTTGCCAGGCCTTTAACTTGGCATCGCGATCTTTATATAACACGTGGCCTTTGTCCCAGAGCGGTTCACGAACTTCGGTGATTGGGCGCTCGGTGTCGATATATTTGGTTACGTTCAATACAAAATCCCTTTCTTTGATGATGATACCCACATCCGTACGGTCGGTCCACCGATCGGTGCAGCACTGAACGCGTTCATTTGTTTTTCCATTGCGCGTCGGTCGACCGACGGCACGCATACGGACGCGCTAGACCGACGGTCCTCGTACGCAGTGCGTAGCAATATACGCGTGCGTACGGTCAGTCCAGCACTGTAATGATTTATGAATTTTCATATAAACGACAAGCGCGACTGACATACGCACAGACGGTCGGTGGAGCACTGTAACCGGCCTTACTACGCGGGTGGGTGTTTGAGATGTAAACCGGACCGGTCATAGCCGGTATATTGAACCGGTCGATTTGCCTCTCTTACCGTTTTTTTCAGCGTTTGGGTTTCTAGTGATGGAACTTTTTAGTTGCGTTCCAAGTGCTAAACAATTTTAAATCTCATTTGATAAAGAACCTGCCATGAAAACATGGAGGTCCTTCCATTGGATACCCGAAAAGAGTGGTGGGTACTTGAAACGTTGACACGAAATACCGGGAAAATGCTTAGACTTAGGAATTCCCGACAAATATGCTACTATAAAAATCACTTGTTCTAATTGTGTATTCATAGCTTTTTGAAGAACTAAGTAAGAAATGATTAAAGTAAACGTATCTGTAACTTTTAGAAGGAATTGTATGATGTTGGTAATTTTCTTAAAATATTAGATAATTTAAAAAGGGAAGAATAGAAAGGGAAGTACATGCTTATCCACATGGTTGTACGTTTTTATCAATTTGATTGTTTTCTTAAATTTGCATTATTTATCTTTGATGTATGTTTATTTCTGTTATTAACTCACATTAATGTAATTTATTCATAAAGGGTCTTTTCGTCTTGTTTTACTATCTAATGCGTTTGCATTAATCTAAAGTAATAGTCTATTTGTGTCCTGAATAATAAATAAAATAGAATTAGAGTCATACCGTGGACACAGAAATTCCAAGAATGCCATCTTCTTAGCAATCTGTGTGGTATAAAATGAAAATTGTTGGTTGGGAAACCCTAGGGGGGACCAGTATTCCACACGGGAAGAGCCTGTCATCATTCAACTGGTAGAATACACCCAATAATTCAGGATCAAATTTGTTTTGACCTTTCAAGTGATTTCGAAAGTAAATACGCTCCCAAAGATCAACAACAAGAACGCCAGTATATTCTAGAAATTGCTAGAATATACCTAATTATCTCAGAATTGGGGCACGACTACTTATATAATTTAGAGATTTCCATGAAAATCGTATTGCTTCAAATCATTTTGGATTTAACTTTCGTTCCGATATCGGGTCGAGGGAACGCGCTCTCGCCCCCGTCACGTTACAGCCGGAGTCCCGCAAGGGTCCGCCCTCTCTCCGTTACTGTTCAGTTTGTATATCAACGATATACCCAGGTCTCCGGAGACCCATCTGGCGCTCTTCGCCGATGACACGGCTATCTACTACTCATGTAGGAAGAAGTCGTTATTACATCGGCGACTCCAGACCGCAGTTACCACCATGGGACAGTGGTCCCGGAAGTGGCGCATCGACATTAACCCCACGAGAAGCACAGCGGTGGTTTTTACAAAGGGGTCGCCCTCCGAATACCACTTTGAGCATCCCACTCCCCACTAGGCGCGTTAACACCTCCGCCATCCGCCCAATCATCATGTACGACCAACCCATACCGTGGGCCCCGAAGGTCAAATACTTAGGCGTCACCCTCGACAGAGGGATGACATTCCGCCCCCACTTAAAGACGGTACGCGACCGTGCCGCCTTCATACTAGGACGCCTCTACCCGATGATATGCAGGTGAAGTAAATTGTCCCTTAGAAATAAGGTGACACTCTACAAAACTTGCATACGCCCCGTCATGACTTATGCAAGTGTAGTGTTCGCTCACGCGGCCTGCACTAACCTAAAACCACTCCAAATCATTCAATCCCGTTTTTGCAGGATAGCCGTCGGAGCCCCGTGGTTCGTCAGGAACGTCGACCTCCATGACGACCTGGACTTGGACTGAGTCCATCAGTAAGTCAATCTTCAGTCGGCGTCGATGCGCCACTACGATAAAGCGGCACGACACGAGAACCCTCTCGTCGTGGTCGCCGGTAACTACATTCCCAATCCTGCGGACAGAATGGAAAGCAGTCGACGTCGCCCCAAACACGTCATTTCGGATCCTCCCGATCCACTAACGGTGCTTTTAGGTACCTCAAGCACCGGTCATCGTTCTCGTCGAACCCGTCGCTTACGACGAAGGGCTCGACGAGTAAATTAACACTCAGATACAGCACACTGAGTTTCTCGCCAGATTTCTCAGTGGGTCGCTTTTCCCATCCGGTGGTAGATTCTGCGAAGCATGGCTCTTGCTAGGGCTTGTGTTATCAACGTCGTCAGGTTTGAGCCCCGTGAGCTCACCTACTAGTTAAGGTTACGCTGAAATAGCCTCTCAAGGCTCTCAGCTAAGTAGAAAAAAAAAGGATTTAATTAATGTTTAATGTGGTAGAAAATTTAAGTTACTGTGGCTTAGCTAGTATACATGCGCTAGCAGTATTTGCAAGACAATCTTGCAGTTCAAGAAATTCAATGAAAGACTTTTACAATACGAGTATAAGTTCCAAACAACAATACTCGTTGATCTATTCGTCATAGACACCTGCTCGATGAAAATCTACCCCTTTTTCCTATAACCTGGTGACCCAGACTTGATCTAAACAACATCCTATATTGCTAATAATCAATAAAATAGATTAATCTATTAGACAAATAATAGTCATAACATTTAAAGCTTCCAAAACACATACACGATAAAAACGTTTTTGATATAGATAGTTTCATTAATTTAACAACAAATTTTGATTGTTACCTGTACAGGAATGTGGTATTTTATGATCAAGCGTATACGGCCAAAAAGGAGGGTCATTTAGCGGTGCCACTATCGTAGCGTCATAGACAAAACCGAATTCTTGCATCATAAGAAATTGACGATTCCATCCGACAGAAAGGTATGGAACTCTCATTCCTCTGCGAAACAATGATGGAAATTAGTAGTCAGTGCAATACTTAACTATGCAGCACGCCCTAAAACCACTAAACGAAACGTGAAAATAAATGATGACAATTGAAAGTTTTCATGTCTCTAATGATCGTTAGCCTCTTGAACTACAATACAAGCTTTGACTATGAGTATAACATTCGTTTCTACGACTCTGTAGTAGAAATTGTACATATTCAAACAATAATTGCAATACTATTCAAGTCTATTAAATCATATTTAATTAAAACTAAAATGCCATATTATGCTTAAATGTGACGTCATTGTACAAAATAATGTGCTGTATGTTATGCATGAAATTAAAACAAATTTCAATTATTTATTTATCCATTTATGATTAGCTTTTTTTTATTGCTTCACGGCAGAAATAGGCAGGGTGTTGGTTTCTACCCGTACGGGCTCACAAGATGCCCTACCACCAGCAAAACTTAATTGAGTTTTAAGCTTTCCTGACCAATTTGATTACTGAGCATAGTAAATTTAAACCTGAAGTCTTCCATATGAATACGACCGAATCTGTTAATAATATTTGCTTCGCCGACCATTTCGTCAAACCAGTCTTCTACAGTCGCGTTTTTGGACCACCATTCTTCCGGACCGCGGTGCCTAAAAATAATAATCGAACTTGAAAATGAATTATCGATACAGCAGTGAAAGTTGTATCTGCATGACTTACGTTACTGAATTTACTGCAATTTCATGCCCGTCGTTCCAAAGTTTTTGTACATGTCTATAATTCGTATATGGGTGCGAAACAAAGAAAGTGGCTTTTAATGGACACCCGTTGGGATTTTTCCTTTCAGTAGTAAACACGTGCTTAGTAAACGTGTCCCAGTTTTCATGATTAATAGCTCCGCTAAATGTGAGAGTAATCATTTGTGGAGTCTGAAAAAAAAAATAGATTTACTTTGCTAACAATTGCGGCCTCATAAATAATAATTTATCATTAACATGTTATCTTATTTAATTTTTACCTGGCTAGGAACTAAATTTCCTGGTATCTGTGTACCATTTTTACTACAGAAACATTCCGGCAATGTGCAAAGGATAGGGTCACAAGGTTGTGCAGCATTTGGATCGTAAGTTAGATCGCACCAGCCCTGTTTAACAGAACACGTTAATATCACTCACCTTTCAGACTTATAAAAATATTAGGTTTTTTAAAAACGACACTGTCATTAGAAGTGAAAGTATTACCACACGTTATTTTCGATTGGGGACATACTGAGGTTTGCAAGTCATCATTGTGCAATTAAATGACTAGGTAGATTTATGCAACATACAATAATTTGAGTGTCATTATGTTAAATGAGATGACATTTTACTTCATCTGAAGAGTCCGCACAGTCTATTGATCCATCGCAGAAGTACTCAGCTGGGATACAGGTACCGTCAGAACAACCTATATGGGTACCGTTCGCACACTCAGCCATGTCAAGCAGGGGCTTCGGAACTCTGGTCTCTGAAATAGCATTTGTAGAGGTTTACAGTTAATATTTTCAGTTATTTGTCGCTGTCAGACATTAAAATACTTCGAAAGTTAGAAGGGCAGATTCGAATCTCGATCGTTATTTGAGGATTTATGTGTGCGCCCCCAACCTGTGGTGAGATCGCAGTTGTGCACATTCTCTTGTTTGTCACATAGCTGCCTATTTACGTCGAATAGTAGTCCCGGCGAGCAATGGAATTCAAAAACTTCATTTTCCAGGCAAAGGTAATAATTCGCGCATTCTTGACTTGTCCAAACCGTTTCTTCAGCTCGATCCGGATTCCTAAACAAAAGTGTTCATCAATGGAATTTCGTAATCACTTATGTGGATACCGTAGCTATTTAAACATGGCTTACGTTTGCACGAAGGTGTTGTGTGCCTGTGTCCATAAAACCGAACCAGTCAACAGTAATGAGTAATCATTTTTAGGCGCACTTTCTCTAAATCTAATAACATGACATTTACTAGTTAAGCGGTTTGATTTATTGAAATTGTTTCCATTTGAAGCTAGCTTGAATGGTAATAGGCCGATGAACAGATTTCAATGCTTAACCGAATAATTTACTGTTCACGTAATATTTGTAAAGATTTGAAGACAAACGGCGAAAGTGGATTTCTCGCGACGCAGCAGGAAATTGTAATCGTGGAACAAGACGTGCGGATTAAACGTCGAGTCAAGGTTGCAGCGAAAGTATTGTGGGGTCAATGTCCTCACTAATGTGTTTATTTTATAGCAAAAACATCCTGTTTCAGCTACACTGTGCGTGCATTCGTATTCGTGCAATCGTTGCTTTTGTAATTAGTATTGTTCCGCGCCTGTTACGGAAGCAGAATGAAGTACTACGATTGTTTAAAACTTTAGTGATGAACGTAGTTTTGGTTTACCTTAAGTAGGTGTCACGGTCGTGTGCATATTAAAATCATGCATCTCTTTATCAGGACGGCAGGTTCGAGGCATGTGTGATGTGATGGTTATTAACAATTTATTTTGTACTTAGCATCTTAACTATTTAAAAATCTATTTAGTGCACAAATGTTACTTATTTGCCTACAATATAATTTGGCTAACATCGATCATCGATATATTATTAATATATTGGCTAAAGTCAATTTTCTTTGTAGTTTCACCAGCTTAACGTAACTGTGAGGCTCTATGGAAAAAACTAAAATTCGTAGAATTTGCATATTTTTTAGTAAGGGCTATTGTAGTCCCATATGGGTATATATAAAGGTATATATATTGTAGTTAGTACGATCCTGTCTATTTTGGCAGCAAAGTAATCATTGTTTACCGTTATTACAATACAACATTATTCGACCTCATGTCTCTAGGTGTGTGGCCCATTTTGCAGAGTAGTCTCCAGTAAGCCCTTAGCATTAGTTTAGCGACATATGTAAAAAGTGTTTGCGATTGCCTAATTCAAATCTTAACTGAATTATTTGAATTATTATCTGTTCGAAATTTACAAACTTTAATTACTTATTTACTTATTTAACTTTGTTTATTAATTTTATTTCAACGCGCAAATACAATATTGTACATATTGGCAATATACTTAATGATAGCTACCTGTAAAACCTTCCGTTTTCATGACACTTAACATCCGTTGCACTTCTTTTATTCAACTCTTTCGTAGTGCACATTTCTGAAATTATTAATTTCTATTATGAATTACGCTATAAGAAAAAGGTAAACCTCATTAAGCAACCAGTGTTTTATAATTTACGTTGTTAATGTTATCACTGTTTACCTATAGAGACGAGAGTAATTACGACATTGGCGAGTAGCCGCGAAAGGCGTCGTGCCATGTTGCAGGCCCGGTTTCTACGTAAGAACTGAATTATAGTACAACTCATTCATCGGACAGTATTACTTTCTTTTTAAGCTGAACTTCACAAGTAATTACGAATTGCTCGTAATACGACAGGAAGAGGTATTAATGGTGGTAGGGTTAAATGTAGTCCACACGGGTAGTGTAGTGCTTTGGGTTAGAGGATGAAACAGTCAAATACAGTAAAGATTTCGACCTCAAGCCTCAAGGCGAATGGAGGCAATTAAGCTATGATGTCTACGGCTTCCGCTAACCACTTAGCACTAGGTAGGCTATGCGCTCAATTACCCGATATAAAAAGGAATAATCAATTTTTTCTATGCACAAGCCCACTGAGTTTCTCGCTGGATTTTTACAGTAGGTCGCGATTCCGATCCGGTGGTAGATTCTGCGAAACACTGCTCTTGGCAGGGCTGGTGTTAGCGAATTCTGTCAGGTTGAGCCCGTCAACTCATTTAGCCGTCCGGGCGTAGCTGGAATAGCCTATTAGGCTACCAGCGAATAAGTAGGGAAAAATAAGCACATAGTTTGTGGCTCAGCACGCATATAGGTACAAATATTTTTTATTTTGCTTTATTTCGATCAATCTTGTTTTAAACACCGAGCCCATAGACACCGCAAAGGAAACACCGTTAACACGTGACACATCAGTTTGGAGTGTCAATTTTAATGTGTGATGGGTATGCCACCCTTCAAACGGTTTTTTTTCTATCTATGCTGGTAGCTTAGGGGGTTATGGCAGCGTAACCGGGCGAGTAGGTCAGCTCACGGGGCTCTAACCTCAGGACGTTGCTAGCCATAGTAAGAGCAGTGCTTCGTGTTTCCACCGGATCGGAAACGCGGCCCACTGAGAACATCCGGCAAGAAACTCAGTGGGCAGGGTCTGAGGTTCAATTTGCTCACTGAACCATTCCTCGTAAGCGACTGGTTCGACGAGAACGGTGGTGGGTGCTTGAGGTACCTAAAAGCACCGATAGTGGATCGAAAGGATCCGAAATGATGTCTTCAAATGGAGGGTATGATCGCCTTAATGTAGATAGACAGGATTATAGATAATACCGGATGACCTAATCGCAGGACGATGTTACTTGTCTGTGCGATGTCGTTTTATTGCTGTATATGGTAAGTCGAATTACGACTCATGGGTTTATGGGCTCTGGTAACCACTTATTAAAGATCCGTCAAGGCTAATACCATAGTGAGAATGTCGCCAACCGCCTTAGGAGGCTCAATGAATTAGGCCGCCTTTTTTTTATTTTCGGATTTTTTTTATTTTTAACTAGCTGATCCGGCAAGCTTCTTAGTGCCTCAATCGCTAAATAAAAGACCTGACTTTTGTATAAAATAAACTTAAAACAAACAAAAGGAATCCGTCCGACGGGGGCACATCAAAGGGAAAACAAACTGTTATTTTTATTTAATTCCGAGCATTTTCATATTTATTTACCTTTTAAACCTTCTCTGGACTTCCACAAATAATTCAAGAAAATTAGCCAAATCGGTCCAGCTGTTCTCGAGTTTTAGCGAGACTAACGAACAGCAATTCATTTTTATGTTCGTATTCATGTTCGTTAATGTTCGAAAGTAAAATTGTTTGTTCGTCTTTTATTTATTTATAATTAATTAAACAAATGATCATCCTTCAATGGGCTCCCTTACTAGATATCTTTATTTTTATCGCTCAGATTAGTTAATTTGGATCAATTATTGTTTCTTCGACGACTATTGGTGATTGTTCGATCATAAAAACAATTAAATTCCCAATTATTAATTATTTTATAATAGGCAAACCACCAACTCAAGCTTACATTGCGCATGCGCCGGTTTTGTCAGTCAGATAACAATGGCCGTATTTACTAGCGTTTTGTTAACAATTGCGTTTATACTGTCTAATTATTTCTTATGTAGATCAAAAAAATATTGAAAACTTCAACAACACTTCAACAAAAAAATGTCAGTGAAGACGGCCAATTAGTCGTTATAGTACGATTAGCGCGGTTTTAATAAATTTATCATTTGTTTAATTAATTCTTAATAAATAAAAGACGAACAAACAATTTTTACATTCGAACATTAACGAACAAACGACGAACAAATTTAGAAATAAAAAAATCCGAAAATCAAATAAAAGGGGCCAAATTCACTGAACCGCCTATAAGACATGTCGAAATTTTAATTTTATTTCATTACAATTGCCCCATCCTTCAAACCACGGGAAGGCTACCACACAGCCAAACCCAAACAAATCTTAACCTACGAGTATATCATTCGCAAACTAAAATCGATGTAATAATTAAAACATCATATCTTTTCCTGTATATTTTTTTACACTTGAGCAGATTGAGCTATCATATTTCCTTCAAACATTAGCAATACGAATTTGTGATAAAAATATACAAATTTCTTGTAGCAACGCCAGGTTATGGTAATTGTTTTATTTTGATAATTTAGTGTTTCTTCAGGTTTAAGCGTATAATATGGTAATCGTTTAAAGGGGAATATAGGGGATATAGGGGAAATTTAAACTTAATCACTTCACGTAGCTTCTCGGATTGTTCGAAAGATCTATTGAAGTCTATTTGGTGGGATAAGTTATATTCCCCTTGCCTCTCTAATAGGTAAATAAAATAAAAAACCTCTGTGGACATAAACCATAGATAATACACATAAACCGAAAATTGAAAAATTGAATGGAATGAACAGATGAAAAAGTGATAGTGTGTAAAACTATGTAATTAGATAAATAAAAAGGAGTCGACGTCGCAGTTTGTGGAGAAAATCTTTCTATTTTAATGTTTAAACTCATATAGAATATCATTATCAAAGCTAAATCTGTTTCATCTAATAAAATGCAATGTTTTAAGACATCCATCCAAGTCATTTTGTTGCTAAACGTTTGTTTTGCTACTTTATCGCCACCGTCTGACAAAAAGGGACAAAAAGGTGTAAAACCACAAGAAGGGCCACGGAAGAGTAATGTTTTAGATCGTAAATTAGTTACGGAAGCTCCTTTAGTTAAGGATATAATAAAATATCATGCGACCTACCACCAAGACGTTTATTCGCAAAATTTCGGTAACTCTGTCTTAGGTTATGTTACGCCGGTAAGTTAGATTTGCATGAAATACGAATTCAACAAACAACAATAACAAACAGAAAAATAATACAAAGATTCTATTTAATATTCATAATTAATATTATATATTATTATTACTTGTCGTACATATTATTACTTGCAGTGTTTCCATTTTTATCTTCAATTGTATCTATGAAAGTAAAAAACAAATAAGTAAGTGAATGTGAAAATTATTCCCATAATTACAGTGGAACAACAAAGGTTACGACATAGCGAAGATATGGGCACCAAAATTCAACTACATCTCACCAGTATGGCTACAAATAAAAAGACAGTCACCAAATATCTACATCATAACTGGGCTCCATGATGTAGACCATGCTTGGATGAAATCTGTGAGACAGAAGGGTGCAAGGAACAATATTAAAAGTAGGTGAATTTCTGATAAGACATAACATTTCTTTAAAAAAAAAACAGATGAAATAGTCTGTATGGAGTCTGATTATTACATGCCATTCAATGCCATTAGGAACACTATTATTGAACATGTTCTTACCACAATTTTCATATGTAATGAGTTCCCAGTATTTTCCCAGCTCCAAATCACTACTAGACTAAAGGCTGCAGGTATCATAAAAGAAGGAGACAAATTGTCTAATTTTCTTACGTGTCTTGATAACATACACTTACATCATACATGGTAATGACAGTTTTTTCTGAACATATATTCTTGTTGTGAGTTTGAATTATCATCAGTTAATTTTCAAAGATTTATCTCTCTTTTTCCAAGCACATATTTTGTTACATTATATCATATGCAGGGGTGAAAGGCTATTTGTTTTAAATGTAAATTTTTGCAACTTTCAGGAGAGCCATTTAAAGTATAAAATTTGGAAAAAATATAAAAAAATTCTTCAGCTATTTCAATGGAGTAAACCTAATTGAAGTTCAATTAAAGACATCGAACTGGTGATGCTTGTGTCAAATAAAATGCACCTTTATTTACAACTAGTGACCCTCCCTCGCTTCGCTTCGGAAACTGTAATTTATTATTGATTTCTCCACTATTTAATGGATGTTATTATACATATAAACCTTCCTCTTCAATCACTCTACCTATTAAAAAAAACCGCATCAAAGTCCGTTGCGTAGTTTTAAAGATTTAAGCATACATAGGGATATAGGGCCAGAAAAAGCGACTTTGTTTTATACTATGTAGTGATGATAAAATTTGCATATTATATGAAATGTCACTTATTAGAAATAGCCTTTCACCCCTCGATATAAATAATTTGAAAACTAAAACAAATGAATGAAGGAAAATATTCAAATTGCAGTTCTTCCAAGAATTATCTTTGAGAACTGGCAGGGATCAGATCTAAAAGCATTTTTTATGGAACCGACATCACTAACAGAACAGAAAGCTTTTATTGAGGAAATAAAAAAAGCTTGCAAGCAATGGAAATTTGATGGTGTTGTGCTTGAGATGCTCTCTCAGATTGGAAAGTATGCTGACAAGTCTGTTAAGTTCATACAACAATTTGGTATGTAAACATACCTTACTTTTATAAATACAATTATTACATTATTATATTATACAATTTCAAAACATAGTATAATAATATAAAGTTTTTCAAAACCCTCTCGTGGTGAAACTGGAAAGGCTTCCGGGCCACAAGTAAACTTCAATCATAAAACAAAAAAGTTTTTCAAAAGCATTTATATGATTGAATTTGTTGTGAACTCTTCTTTGGTTACTGCTGCTACTTGAAAGTACTCAGAAAACAAAAAATGTAATGTTTTGTGCATTTTCAGGTTTGGAAATGATTGAAAATGGTTTGAGTTTGATTTTAGTCTATCCACCGTATCGAGGCTTCCCTACAGATGAATTCTATATACAGGCATTTAATGATATTTATCCTTATGTAGAAGCTGTTTCTGTAATGACATATGATTTCTCTAATCCACAAAAGCCTGGTAATTGTATATTCTTGTTTTTAATATTAATTCCATTTATTAATATGCTTAAATTTTTGGTATGGCAGTGTAAAATGGATAGTAGGATCAAAATAATATACTTCTCAAATTTTAGGTCCCAATGCCCCTTTGTACTGGATGAAGTTATGTTTAGAGAAACTCATTGATGGTGATGAAAATCCATCTAAAAAATCAAAAATATTACTTGGTTTGAATTTTTATGGTAACTCCTATACTGTGAATGGTGGTGGGCCTATTGTGGGTACTGAATACATAGAAATTCTCAAGAATGCCAAAAATAACCAAGTACTTACTTATAATAATAATACTGCAGAGAATTATATTGAAATCAGGTGAGCACAGTTTTTAATTATATTTTGTGGGTGCAATTGTCATTTTGATAAACAGAAATGGTCATTGGTTTATACATGTTTGTAGAATTAATTTTGAATTTTAAGAATATTTGTTTTACAGAAGTTTACAAGGTTCAAAAAAAATATTTTACCCAACATTGTACTCTATACAAAAGAGGCTAGAACTTGCTGAGGAGTACGGAGTCGGTGTTGCCATATGGGAAATTGGACAAGGGCTTGATTACTTCTATGATTTGTTTTGATTTGTGATACAATTAGTTACATAATTAAAAATACATATTTAACTGGCGTTTTATTGTGACTAAAAACAAAAAATACAACTGAATTACAAAATAATTTATTTAATAACATTGACACCATTTGAAAATTGGGATAGTTCAGTCTCGTCATACACATGATACACGAAGTCTTATAACAAGTCTTGCTTAGAGCACCAACGCAAAGTACGAATACCATTTCTACACTAACCACCTGCTACTTTAGGCTTACCCTTGAACTCCATCATTGACTGAGGGCCTTTCATTACTCGATGCATCAAATCCCAGCACATTTTAGCTGGAAGTAGACTAGAAAAAAAAAGTAAAAGTACGGAAAACCAATAGGCTACAATCATATAAGAATTTTACTAAGTAATTCTATTTAAATATAATAGAAAATTTACTTAAAATTCTAAGTGAAATATAATAAATAAAATTATTATAGAGTGATTGCCATCGGTCATGGATGTCAACAATGCCAACGGCGCAGCCAAGTTCTACCGAATGGTGTATGTTGGAAGATTTCAAATGTGTGTATTTATTAAAGTAACGTACTATTTATTAAAGTAACAATTTAAGCTACGGGATTTCAGGTATGAGTACATAACCTTTAGGTACATATTACATTCAAACAAGGCTAATTTATTGAACAAGTATTGAAATCGTCGTGGGCTAAAGGTACCAGTGTTCGAATCTCGCAGGCAAGTCCTATTTTTTTTAACGAAATACGTACAAATGTTAAATAATGATGCGAATGAGTTCTAAGGTGAGGAAATAACATCGTGAACAAAAATCAAATCCACAAAAAAAAAAAACGTAATTACTGGTGGAAAGATTTCTTATGAACTCGCACTGGTAGGTACCACGACCAAGGGTGGGGCAGCCGTGGTCCTATAAAAACTTAGACTCAAAACTCGTGTCTCAAGGTGGATGGCGGCACTTTATTATAATGTTGATGTCTATAGACTCTGGTAACAACTTAATACCAAGTGCACCGGGTGAGATATACTTCATTAATATAAGCAAAAAAATATATGATTCGACTCCATGTAAAATAATTTGCACTGACCACTTCAGAGGTAACAAGTATCTGACGGAACCGGGCATGATGCAATTGACTTCATTCTTTCTGATGGAGTCAATCATTGTTTCCGCAACGTAGTCCGGTTCTAGCATCGGCATCAGACGAGGAGTAACACCGTTAAACATTCCCGTGTTTATATAATAAGGGCACACGAGAGTAGCGTGGATTGTATTGTGACCGTGGGCCTGTAAAGAAGAAAACCCAATTTGTATAATAATTAATGAAGATGTCAATTTGCACAGATCACGTCGTTATACTGCAGTCTTCTGGTGAGAAGCAGTTGTGTGTTCCAGCTGGTAAGGTAGGAGAACCTAACCGTATTTTAATACAATTATTATTCCAATCTCATGTTTATAAATAGACAGTTTTATTGACGTTATGATGTCTATGAGTTCCAATAACCGCTCAACCCTAGGCGTAAATCAGTAGATGAGTCCAAGGTCACCTAGTGATCTACACCAATTAGAATTAAAAGAAAACCTTTAGGATTTAATAAAAACAAAAATTTATGCTTGTATTATGTATAACCAAATATGACTGTAAGCATAAAACATCAATCTATATTAGGTAATAATTTAATAAAGTGGAATTAGGCTATCTACTGCAGTGATCTGCTTTGAAAAAGTTTGTATTTTAATTTCTGGTTAATGCCAGTTATAGAAGCAATACTGCTAAAACTATACAACAGTTAAATTATTACTACTAATTAGGTAAATTGATAAAATAATATTGTGTGATTTTTTTTATATACTGAATAGTGTTTTAAATGTATGTGTAAGTTATTAATTACCCTTAGCTCTGTAAAGAGGCTCTCATGGAAGCCCACTGTGGCAAACTTGGTAGCACTGTAATCAGTACAGCGGTACGTGCCGAGTAGCCCTGCTACAGAACCCACGGTGACTATGTGCCCTTTGCCGCTCTTAATCATATCTGGTAAAAAGGCTCGGACCGTCTGGAAATAATGTCTCATATGAATTGACAATAAACTCTTATTTCCTCCTCCCCATGTCTAAGAGCCATGACCGTCGGCTTCTCTTTTATGTTCTCTATGAACTCGGATAGCCACTTATCATCAGCTGGTTTGTAAATATATCTACCCATTTACAGAATAAAATTCTTATATTAATAATAATAGATTTGTAAATTGAGACTTTAACAAGAAAACGTTACTCATGTAATTTTGTTAATTAACATTTTAATTGCGGCTTTTATTACTATTATTTATTCCCACTTATTAACTTGATTCAGTAAACTTACCCAATAGTGAGAAAGTATATTAACTCTATAAGTGGTTTCTATTGCTGTATCGGTCAAGTCTAATAGAGTTTCACCAAACACGGTGCCTGCATTGTTTATTAATACGTCAACTTTTCCCACCTAGAATGTAACGTGAAGTTGGTTAATAAAAAAACAAAGCATGTGCAGTATTCTCCGAACCTAAAAAATCACAATGTATCTCGTCATTGTATAATTGTTGAACGTAAAAAGATTTATATTTTGTTTTTGAACATTACAAAACAAGAACGTTTACCAAAATCTATTATTCTGTAATAGTTGCATTGCAAATAGCATCTGAATATTATAAGGAGACTAGCTGTACCCGTCCGCTTCGCTGTGCATTTAAAATTAACATTATTATTTCTCATCCCCCCAAAGAATCTTTTCATTAACGCCCCCGCAACTGGTGTAGGGAGGCCAACACTCATATAAATATTAGCCTATCCATTAAGTACATGTATTTTCTACATGGATACCAAGTTTCAAGTCAATCGGATGCATGGTTCAGTAGTTATAACGGAACATCCGTAAAAACCACTGTAGATTTATATATTTATATATTAGTACAGATGTCTATCTATTGGAAATTATAATCTTTCTGCGTTCAATAGTTTTGATGCATAATAAATATGTATGTGTTTAAACGGTAGGCAGCGGGCTCTGCCCCTGGCATTACTGACGTCCATGAGCGACGGTAACCACTCACCATCAGGTGGGCCGTATGCTCGTCTGCCTATACGACAATAAAAAAAAACAAAAAAACTCCAAATTTATTTTATAAGAAAAACAGTGATGAATAAAATGAGTAAACTGAAAATTAATAACGTAGCAATGCACCTACCTATATTCTACAATGCTCTATACTTTTGGGTGACTGGAAGAGAATTCCTTCGTCATTAGGTCGGCCTGTACTTGCTCTTTTGGCGAAATTGAATAAATAATAAATAAATATTTACTAACAATCACGTCACGTTAACTGGTCCCGTACTAAGTTCATAAAGAACTGTATTGCAGGTACCAGATAACGGCAATAAATGTAAGATTTTTATTATACACATATATATATTTAATATACATCCATAACCCTGGAAGAGACATTTTATATTTATCATAAAAATATATCCCCTTGGCGGGATTCGAACCCGCGACCCCCTTGTGCAGTGACCATGTCGCTTACCACTACACCAGACGGTCGTTGAAGTTTAATAAATAAAGCACATAGTTACTTCTCTCTTGACTTTTTCAGCGGTTTCATATACTGCAGCACGATTGGCAAGGTCTACGACGTAACTTATAATTTCGTATCCTTCGTCGATAACAGATGAACATGTTTTTTGCAATCCTAAAACAGAATATTATAGTATTGATCTTTGTATGTACGTATAGAAATACGTTCTAAGATAGTTTTTCAACCTTGTATTTAAGTATGTTAAGATTTAATATTTGAGGTATTTCTGTATTACTACGTAGGTTCGATTCTCGTATCGGGCAAACATTCGTATGGTGAACAATTTTGCTCTTTGTCTTTTTAATATCTGTCTTTTTTTTTTAACTTATAGCATAATAGTATATAAGGAATTCTAGTTTGGAGGTAGATGACAGTGTGTGATTTGTGCCCGGTTATTATATTCATATCAACTTAATACAAGTTTTAGGTACTGGTGGTAGGACCTCTTGTGAGTCCGCACGGGTCCCACCCCGCCTATTTCTGCCGTGAATCAGTAATGCGTTTCGGTTTGAGGGATGGGGCAGCCGTTGTAACTATACCGATACCTTAGAACTCATCTCAAGGTGGGTGGCGCATTTACGTTGTAGATGTCTATGGAGTCCAGTAACCACTTAACACCAGGTGGGCCGTGAGCTCGTTCAACCGTCTAAGCAATAAAATAAAAAAATCTATTGGGGTAGCTCGCATGTAATTGACGTTTGATTAAGTGTCAAGTAAGTAGGTATTTTAGGCCCGTACACCCCTTTTATTTCCAAGCAATCCTTGACGACGTCCAAGAGCATTCTTAGGAATGTTTCGAGTGGAAGAATTCAGCATTGTAGTCGCTTGGAAGGGAAAGTTAAATTGGCTAATAAAATGCTGTCAGTCTTCAACAGAGCGAAGCGATATCACGGCCACGTCTGTTTAAAGTTTTGTGGTTAGTAAAGCATAGGTTTCGGCTCATGTAGAATAATACTGGCTGGCTGGATCTCCTAAATGCCTGTTATGTCTATTTCAGTTCATATTGAAGAAGGATTTCTTAATATGTTGTCTCATTGGTTCTATGCAAAAGTGAGCTATTCACAGTAATCTGGAATTAGCATTGTGTTGTTACCCAACGTGGATACGCCATTACAAATCCAGGTCTGTAAGTCCTGAGCAGAATTGTATCCTTGACTTTGCTGATGTTTATAAGCGACAAGAAATCTTACGGAGCATGCTCATATGCTATAGGAATCTTATTCATAGGTTTTTGTTTTGGTTTAGCAGAATTTAGTTTAGTACTAAATAATTAGACATTACACATTGTGGAAATGTTTAGATTGTGAAATTAATGTGAAAATGTATAATTTATAAGGAGATTGCGAATTCATAATGACTAAATGATTGAAGTTATGCATTATGTAAATGACCCTCATCAGGTAAATAAAACTAAACTAAGATTACTTAATCTGTAGCGAATGTTGTCGACCTACAGATCAAATTATGCAGGTAACGCGAGAGTAGGTAATCTATTCGAATGCAATCTAGTTTATTTAATAAAACGTTGTTTTTTTAATTCACACTAATTTTAGTATTGTAATAGTGAGGTGTCTATTGTATAGTTATACGTATTTGTTCACTTATTGTCTTATTCGAAATTATCATTTCATATAATACTACTGCTATGCAAATATATCTATACTAATATTATAAAGCTGAAGAGTTTGTTTCTTTGAACGCGCTAATCTCTGGAACTACTGGTCCGATTTGAAAAATTCTTTCAGTGTTAGATAGCCCATTTATCGAGGAAGGCCAATATAAGCGACCATAAGACCAATATAAGCGGAGCACCAATAAAGATGTTTCAAAATCGGTTTTTCTTTCTCGTTCGAGAGTTTCCGCTGCGTGCGCTGCAGAAACGGTGGAAAATAATGTATGACAGAATTGTTCCCCTTTAAAAGATCTAAAAAAAGTCCGCGACATCATATGTCTATATGTTATGGTTGGCTCACTATAAAGTTTTTTATGCTAACCAAATTTGTTCTAAAATAAAGCATTATTTGTGAACTATTTCACGCGGACGAAGTCGCGGGCAAAAGCTAGTATTACTACAATTTGATATTCATTCAAATGGCAGAGCAAACCAAATATGGCGTACAGATGGGGCAGACGAGAACTAGAATTACTAATAGGTACTAGAGGACGGCTTAAAGTTGAAGAATAAAATGGTGATTGAGATAAATGTTGAGAATAGTAAAGCGTTTATGAGAATGTAGCCAACATTACTTGCCATTTAAAATATAAATTGAGTTTGTAGCTATGAAAATGTGCTTAAATATTATTATTACAAAGTAATAAAAAAAAAAAAAAAAAAAAAAAAAAAAAAAAAAAAAAAAAAAAAAAAAAAAAAAAAAAATACACCAATATACAAGTTTGATACAAAATAAGCGGTAAAAACTGTATGTTGAAAACGTCTGTGGCTCTTAGAATCAACAACTACCTACATACCTGCTTTTAAATATGTAGCTTCATTGCAAAATAATAGCAGGCGAATATGTAATTTGCAACTGTAACAGAAATTCTTATCCATACTTAATGTCATAAATGTGATAGTGTTATTGTTTGTTCATCTTTCACACCGATACGAAATAACGGATTGACACTTTTTTAAGTTATAGTTTTAGGTCAGAAGACAAACTATTTATCCCAAAACAACATCATATTCCCACAGGAAGCGACCATCACTTACCATAACCAACCAACCAATAATTTTCTTCATTTCGTCCTCCGTTCACGTCAAAAGGAAGCAATGGCTTGAGCAATTGAGCTATCAAGCATAAATCGTTGAACGGATGCGGATAAAATTGTTTTTGCTGTGGCTAGTGTTAGCAAATTCACTCAGTTTGAGCCCGTGAGCTCACCTACCAGTTCTAGAGTATCTGGAATAGCTCTTTAGGCTACCTTAGTAGTCCTATTGGGAAAGTTACTTGTTATGCAGACAAAGCCGCGGGCAGAAGCTAGTTACTCCATAGATTGTTCGAGAGCCTTCAAATCAAGTATTAGATAAAACTTACCTTCTTTATTAATATCCCATACAACGACTTTTGCTCCAAGCCTCGCGAGTTTTATGGCCAGTTGTCGACCGACTCCGCCTCCTCCTCCGGTTACCAAAACCACGTCCCCTTTGAGACTTTTCATGGGTCTTATTGCGTAGGGCACTAAAGTCCAGAATAGTGATTCTAATATGTAATAACAAGATAGAAGTAAAAATAATATTGTGTCTTTTGCTATGTCAAAAACGCTAGACATTTGTGAGGGTGAGTTTATTTTTGTTCCTTCCAACATCTTTTCAATCTGAAACAATGAAAATGAAAAATACTGTAGTTTTTGTTGATACTTTAAACATGTTAATTAATTAAGACTTGAACGGACGTTCTAATTAATGTTTGTCTTGTGGTTTTAAATTTGGCCTGCCGTTATAACATGATTTAAAGATAGGTTAAAACAAAATAGTATAATATTGCTGTTGAGCTGTCTCATGTGGGTAACGTGACAATTTTAGATAAACAAATGCTGGAAGAGCTTATTATATTTGTGAATGGATTAGAAAAAGAAATTAGAAGAAGAAATCAAGCCCGCTAAGATTGCAACAACTAGACTAGACTAGTTATCTAATGTAAATTGTTGACATTCAGTAAAGTCTCATAAGTTGAATTATATCACATTTCTTTCAAAGTTAAATGGACTTTTTAAATATGTTAGTTTTGTTCGTTAGTAGTTCTAATACATACATCTGGTACAGTTTTCCAAAGTACAATTCGTGATAATAATCAAGTTAAGACGACTGGTCGATTTAATAATCAGATTTTATAACAGGACTTTAAGAAAATCGTTCTTAACATTTCGTAGAAATGTACTGTTCCTTTACAACTGATATACAAAGACAGAAAGTGTACATTGTACGTTGAACGAAAAGAAATTCTCAGAGTTGGTTTTCTTGTAAAGGATTTATACGCGCGTTCGCTAAGTGAGTGGGAAAATCTGACATCGGCCAGAAGTTGAATAAACTCTTCGGATAATACTTTCGCGATTGCTCAAAAATTGAAAATTATTCTGATTTTGATGTGAAATATCTATAGCCGCACGTAAAACCGATTTCTGGGGTGGCGACGCATGCCGTGGCGACGCGTCGCCATGCGCAATCGACTGTGCGATTCTCTCCCACTCGATCCGGCGTTAAGCCATCTCTCTCGCTACACTGAGCTCGGATACCTATAGTGTATACTCCGTAGTGTATACAGTGTTGTTTACTACAGTACACATAGCCTGTCTTTTACTTGAAAACAATATACTTTTTCGTAATATTTAATTTTATCATTATGACATATTTAGTTCCTATCACAATCTGTTCTTTTCTGCATATTACTTTTACAAAATAATGTCGATGTTTCACATCTGCCAGGCGTCCCGTGACGGCTCACATTTTTTTAAGTTTAAAATTCCGTAAAGTATTGCACAATAAACATTCTGAATATGCATCTCCTGTCACTGCTGATGTCTATAAGCAACGGTGATCACTTATCGTCACGTGAGTTTCTCGCCGGATCTTTTCAGTGGGTCGCGTTCCCGATCTTGTGGTAGATTCTGCGAAGCACTGCTCTCGCTAGGTTTAGTATTAACAACGTCACCAGGTGATCTCACCGACTCTCCCTATGAATCTAGTATGACCCCTCGAGGTCAATAGAACAGGTAGAAAAAAAATTGGCACGTGAGCTGTAACATAGTTGTAAAACGGCAAAAAATACACTATCTATTGGTGTAATTACTAGTGAATATTTGTAGCTCCGTTACCACACCAAAAGTAATTTTATTACTACTTCAAACATTTGTGTTTGGAATAGACAATCGTGAACACATTATTGTACATTACAAAACGTGATTTTAGAATGTACACAAAAAACAATTTGTATTCAATAATTTAGATTCTGCCTTGGCTTCGGAGCTATGGATGAATGTTTTTTTTTTATTAAAACTTAAAATTAAATGGTAATGTATTATGCAAGCAAGTAATAAGTACATTACAACTGAAATCGCAATGTCAACAAATTTTGGAAATAATACTTATAATAAATAATATAAATAATAAATAATATTACTGGTGGTAGGACCTCTTGTGAGTCCGCGCGGGTAGGTACCACCGCCTATTTCTAACGTGAAGCAGTAATGCGTTTCGGTTTGAAGGGTGGGGCAGCCGTTGTAACTATACTGAGATCTTAGAACTAATATCTCAAGGTGGATGGCGCATTTACGTCGCAGATGTCCATGGGCTCCAGTAACCACTTAACATCAGGTGGGCTGTGAGCTCGTCCACCCATCTAAGCAATAAAAATAAATAAAAAAAGTAACTACATATATATGTACATCAATTCTTCACATAGAATATTGCAAAACTTTTGTGGTTTAATCTGTCGTTTATTGCATTATAGTTTATAGACTCGAACTTTCGAAACGTGTGGTGTATACATACGTGCAGAGTGCTTTAGAATTCTTCGACAGGTGAAAAATTTTGTAAAGTTTCCAAAGTGTTACAACAATACAACTATATACAACAAACTTTGAAATATCATTAATTTACATCAGCGAAATCAAATTTCTCATGAGGTCATGCCGTTTTAGACTTGCTCTGAATCATCAGATTACTACTGCTTTACCACATCATACCGTAATATCAGTTATCATAATAAGTTTTAAAAATTATTAAATATGTGTGTTAGAGTAGGTAGTATCACTGGTTTTGCTTATCTTAAATTTTCTTCTTCAGTTTTGAAGACTGCTCGAGCTTATTCAAATTACGAATGACATTTTGATTTTTCCACAAAAACGGAGGCCCGAAATCATGGCCCTAAGCACGTCATTACGGATGCTCCCGATCCATTAACGGTGCTTTTAGGTACCTCAAGCAACGGTCACCATTTTCGCCGAACCCGTCGCTTGCAACGAAGGGCTCGACGAGTAAATTAACCCATAGACACAGCCCACTGAGTTTCTCGCCGGATCTTCTCAGTAGGTCGCGTTTCCGAACCGGTGGTAGATTTTGCGAAGCACTGCTCTTGCTAGGGCGTGTTAGCAACACTTGCGGTTTGAGCCCCGTGAGCTTACTTACCTACACGTTAGGGTGAATCTGAAATAGCCTCCAAGGCTATCAACATAGGTAGGGAAAAAAAAGAGCTTCGGATGCCCTTTAGACATTACGGTTAGGTAGGTATGACAGTGATTCCGTGACCCATACGATTCTAAAAAAAATATATTCATCCATTAGGTTTTACTGTTTCTATTACGAGGAGGGATCAAAACATGGCACTACGGACATCCCAAGGCAACTTTGGCCGAACGGTTTCGTAAGAATTTGTTATTATGTAGCCTAGTGGTTTAAGAAATATGAGTGCGGCAATTTGCTTTTACGACGTTGATGGCTTCAATCACGAATGACCTTCTGTTATACAAGTGTGCCTTCGGCTGCACAGCTCCTTGTGATTACGTACATAGATCAATCACGAAGAATAATCTATAAGATTTGGGATTGCAACGGCTTGTCAGCTATTAAAATTGAAGCCGGAAACATTATATTGATTTTTTGTTCAATGGTAGCACTATCCTGCCTATTTTTGCCGTGAACAAGAACAACAGTTTTTCGCCGGATCTTCTCAGTGTAATGAGATTCCGTTTCGGTGGTAGATTCTGCAAGGCACTGCTCTTGCTAGGGCTGGTGTTAGCAAATTCACTTAGGTTGAGCCCGTGAGCTTACCTACCCTGTCCGGGAATAGCTCCTTAGGCTATCAGCTAACAGGAAGGGGAAAAAAATTGCTGCGAAGCGGTTGCAAGCTTAAGGATTCGCATTCCTTTTTTCTTTTTCTTTTATTGCCCTTGTAGGAAGACGAGCATAAGGCCCATCTGATGGTGAGTGGTTGCCATCGCCCATGGACTTCAGCAATGCCAGGGGCAGAGCCAAGTCGCTGCCTCCCGAATTCGATTTGGTGTCTCATGGTGGACGACAGCATTCACGTTGCGATTTGTGTGGTCTCTAGTAGCCACTCAAATCAGTCACCGTCAACGTTTTGTTACCCAATCAAAGCATAATGTAGTAGGTTTAATTTCCAATAACGATCGCTAGAGACTAATATATTCACAAGGGACTCGATTATTATGACTTCAATGTTCGAGATGTGTGTAGTGCAGTAAAAAGCACTATATAAAAATATATTGCCGCCGATGGCGGTTTCAACGACATAATCCACCAGTGGTTAGGACTCCAAAGTGAGAAACCCCTCACAATACGCGCAGTATCGAGGATAACTGCCTTCTGTATCAGGATAACGAAAGTTTCTTAAGATGTTGATCGAAACTTTTTGCTATCAAACCGTGTACCGACAAAACTATTGGAACCATGATGGTTGAATCAACATGCCACATGGCGGTAGTATCTTGGGCTAGGTCTAAATATTTTATTAATTTGTCCTTTTCTGCCTTCACGAGGTTCTCGTCATGAAGAATGGTCAAAACTAACACTGCTCGACGGGCAGACCGATCTATTATTACAATACCAGGCTTATTGGCAACAATATACCTAACCGTGTTTTTTTTTTTTATTGCCTAAGTAGTGCGTAACATGACCATTTTCAAGAACTGTTCGAAGTTGGTATTGGTAATAAGGTACAGCAGAATCATTATTACTATTATTATTATTAGATTTATTCAGTACCGCTACATGTTAGGAGTTGTCTCTGTCATAAGTGTGACCAAACCGTCGCAGTTTCAACCTGCCGCTTATGAACTGTTATGAACCCATTACAGTTCTCCAGTTTCAAAGGTAGAATAGACGATGTCCTGCTTAATTCCATATCCAGCTTCCATTCTACTACATTCAGACAAGGGCGCAGAGATTATTCAGTTTATTGATCCTGATTTTGCATAATCAATGATAGTATCTATAAGCATTACTCTGACATGTTGTTTGACATAATTACCTACTAGACTAACGTTTTACTATCTAAAACTGCTGTTTCACATAGAATTTAAAGGCTTTTATTGGGTACCCTTCGACTCTCTCCGAACGAAAAGTCTTCTGGTTGTAATTCTGGCGCCCTGATAAGTTCTTCTTCAATTGAGGTTTGAAAGAAGTAAGTAATTAACGAGAGGCATTGGCTATGCCTCTAAAACCACTGGACATCAGCCGGTAACGTCAGTGATGTGAGCAGCGCTATTTCGCTTTGAAACTCTATAATGACTCCATTAATTGCGTACGTTATTCAATAAAACAACTGACTAAACTGACCGAATTTGGTCATTATTGAGAAATTCAACCCAAATTATAATTAAAACCAGATCATGCCCTTCAAACCACTTAAATGATTTTAAATTAATAGTTGTTTTGTTTTTTATTAAAAAAAACGTATTATTTCGTTCCGTTTCATCGGAAGACGTGTTTGGCTTACGTCCCTTTTAACGGATTGTGGTTAGCCGTGATCCGGTTTAAGTTCCAGCCGGTAGACATATGATTTTCCTGTGACTTCGCTTTGTGAACTTATCTATATATTTTTTTATATTTTCCAGAATTTCTATAAATTAAACGGTTGTCTGGAAGAGATCGCTTTTAGCGATAAGAACGCCTACTGTACAAATGTATCTGCTTTTTTTTATTGTTTTTGAATGTAAATTGTGTTTTGGTGTGCAATAAAGTGTATTCTCTCTCTCTCTCTCTATAATTTATGTAGCTAGTACATAGTTATATTGGATCGTTTTGTAATTAGGACGTTCATTCTTCGAATAATTTGACTGAAATATTTTGACTGATCTGAGACTTTAAGCTTATAACTAAAAGTCGTCATTTCCTTGGCGGTAAAAATATTGATATAATATAAACTGCACCCTAGTGAGTTATGATCTCGTTTTTAGTAAACATTATTATAATTCAAATGAATATGTATTTATAAAATATCTATCATAATCTTATTCATATTATACAAATGAAATAAAAAATATGATGTTTCTGTATTCTTCAGTGCAGCAAGGAGAACGAACATGGGACGATCGATATCCGAGTTCAGTATTGACATGCGTGCTTTTAGTTCAAATAGGAAACTGGGAATGATACAGTACCTTTTGTTCTAAGCTAATACCTACAAGTTTCCGCTATTGAAGTTACCTTTATATTTTATTTACGTTCCTTACATAAAATTAAAGAAAATTTAAGAAGCATTTGAGTACAGCATTAATTGTTTTTTTTTTTTTTTCTACCTTTGCTGATAGCCTTGAGAGGCTATTTCAGCTTCACCCTAACGTGTGTAGGTGAGCTCACGGGGCTCAAACCGGAGAGTTGCTAACACTGACCCTAGCAAGAGCAGTGCTTCGCAGAATCTACCACCGGATCGGAAACGCGACCCACTGAGAAGATCCGGCGAGAAACTCAGTGGGCTGTGTCTAGGGGTTGATTCGCTCGTCGAGCCCTTCGTCGCAAGCGACGGGTTCGACGAGGACGGTGACCGGTGCTTGTGGTGCCTAAAAGCACCGTTAATGGATCGGGAGGATCCGTAATGACGTGCTTTGGGCGACGTCGACTGTTTACCATTCGGTCTACAGGATCGGGTATGTTAATTGATAGTGAAATTATAGCGAGTTACTTAAAGTTTTATAGTAACACGTAACACGTTTTTACGCCTTTTTTACGTCTTTGGCCTCAGTATTTCGTACAAGTTTCTTTAATATGACTGTTGTTAAAATTTTATGGGTCATATTATTCATATACGTACCTACAGCAATAATAGTTCCAATGCTGAGTTGAGCCCGTTGAGTTCGTACCGAAATAATTCAACTGATTCGCTTTTTTAAGCATTATTCATTAGAAGTAGGTAAGGAAAGTTGTTTTGTTTACTAAACACCTCGCAGTCGTGAATGTAAATTAAATGTATTTAAAATATATTCCTCTGTACCTGATACCGAGAGTGGTTGTCGATGTTGTATTTCAAGTATTCTTAGAATTCGAACCAGCTATATCAAAAAATTGTACATAAAACAAATACCTAAGTAAAAAAATACTTCTGTAAATATCAAAGAGAAAATAAAATTCTTAAGTTTTCGAGAGACATAGACACAATTAAACTTTTAGTCGTCCGTGACTACGAAAAATATTAAGTATTCGTAACGTCGGAAATAATATAATGACAATAAGATACTCGAGAATATACCATAAAAGTTGTTTACATTGAACAAAAAAGCTATAAACGCATTTAAATGGTGAGAATTTTTAAATAAAAGCAGAAGACTAAACTATTTTGCGCTGTAATTGCCATCACAGTAATAGAATTATTATCTGTTAGCATATACCTATAGTTGTGATACTAATATTTGTAAAAGAATCAATCGCTACTTTGTAAAAGAACACTAAACAGATTGTACATTAATAAGATAGTTTGGTTACCGATAAACTCTTTCACACACACGTGCAATCTTTGGAAATTTAAAAACAAAAATATTTGAGCATTCTACGTGAATGTTCAAATATGGAGAAATTTCCATCATAAAAAAGTTCAAATAAAAGTTTGCAAATTTACTTTCCATATAACATTAAAATAAATACCAAAAATACTTAATATTGAAAATGAAAAATAAATCTTACCTATATTTTAGTTTCTTGTAATATAAACGTTGATAAAATACGATCTTAGACGTATCAAATCACGTTAATTCGTATCGCGCGGGTCTAGAGTCGGTGGCCAACTGCGCCGCGCGACGCACAAACTGCTTTCTCCTATAACGGTATGTTATACTACTTTTCATTGCACCTTCGGGCTTTGATTTGAACAGATGAACATTTTTTCTTAGAAGAAATCTCACATAGTAAAAATACAATGTAAAAGACATAGTATTCTCGTACTTTAGTGGTATAACTTCATTTTTTATATAGATATCAGATCATGATAAGGTGAAATTAATAATACTAAATAAATATCTTATATTGGCTGTATTCTAGTAGTATCATCTGAAGTCGTCGTGGCCTAAAGGATAAGGTGTCCGGTGCATTCGTGTTGAGCGATGCACCGGTGCTCGAATCCCAGGCGGGTACTAATTTTTCTAACAAAATACGTACTCAACAAATGTTCACGATTGGCTTCCACGGTGAAGGAATAACATCGTGTAATAAAAATCAAACTCGCAAAATTATAATTTGTCCGCACGGGTAGTTACCACCACTCTGCCTATTTCTGCCGTGAAGGAGTAATGCGTTTCGGTTTGAAGGGTGGGGCAGCCGTTGTAACTATACTTGAGACTTTAGAACTTATATCTCAAGGTGAGTGGCGCATTTACGTTGTAGATGTCTATGGGCTCCAGTAACCAATTAACACCAGGTGGGCTGTGAGCTCGTCCACCCTTCAAAGCAAAAAAATAATATGTGCGATACTAGGCAACCTTCACTATATTTCAGAAATTTGTAAGTACGTAACGCGATATATTTATCAAGTAGGTACTTACGGTTGTCAGAAGCGATGGTAGCGTTTATGTCTGTCAGCATATGCTAGCATAGATGGATGATGTGTGGAGTGACAGAAAGGACAAGAAAAGGAATGAGTATATCAGAGGAAGTGTGAAAGTAGATCCAGAGATTGAAAAATTAAAAAGCGGACGGTTAGCGTGGTTTGGACATGTGATGCGTAGGAGATGCATGTGACTAGGCGATGTATGGAAATAGTAGTGCAAGGTAAAGGAGGAAGAGGTCGACTGAAGAAGACATGGATGAAGTGTGTGTTGAGATGACGGCTGATAGATGAGAATGGAATAGAAAAATTCGTTGTGCCGACCCCATCTAGTGGGATAATGTGGAGACAAAAAATAAGAAAAAGCATATTCTAGCAATATTAAAAAAGGCCTAGATTTAAATAAAGACGCAAATACTAGAAGATTATTAAAAAAAGGTTTCTTCGTACCGTTACGAGCGGCGGGTAATTACAAGAATGAAGTGTTCATTGACGGAAATTGTGACCACACAGGATATTGTGCAGTTAAGCAGTCAAGTACATTGTTGACCTGTAGCCACATATGTAATCAGGTTAATTGCAAAGTGGCAATTAATCACATAAACAATAAAGGTATCAACGCAGTAATGTTACCACTAACAAAATATATAATACCCTATGATTATGTTTTTCTGTACAACACCAATTACCTACATAATGATAGACACATAGGTATGTCTGAGTTTCAAAAGTGTAGCTAACTACCAAAGGGTTGAAGCCTAATAATTTGACTAGGGGTATCGTCATATCGCATGGATGGGTATCTAATGTCTTAACTATTTTTGCCGCGTGCTTTTGGGTCTGAAGATTAAGACTGAACCATATCATCATTCTGAAGGGTTTCTGAACCTACCTTAACTTTTTCGATTTGCTTTATTTATTTATTTATTGCTAAGATGGATTAAAGAGTTAACGGCTCATCTGGTGTGAAGTAGCCAGCGGAGCTCATAGGCCTCAACCGCGTTAATGTCCACCCACCTTGAGATTTCAGTTTATATCTCGGTTTTTACAGTACAACAGTTGACCCAAGCTTCAAACCGAAGCGCTTCACGGCACAAATAGGCCGCTGCCTACTTACACCACCCTTGGTAGTACTTAACCGTGCTGGCTCACAAGAAGCTCTACCGCCAGTAATTACCCAAATAATTTTTTTTGCAGGATTGATTTTTATTACTCGATGTTATTCCTTCACCCTGGGAATGATTTTTGTTATGTACGTATTTCATTAGAAATATTGAAGCCTTTCAGCGGGATTCGAACACCGGTACAGTCGTATCGCTCGATACCGATGCACTGGGCGTCTTATCCTTGAGGCCACTACGACTTTAAAAACTTGTTGATAGATGCATTCACGGAGTCACTGTCCTCGAGCTATGAGGCTTTCTCTGGAAGCGCCCGGGTTGCTGTTGATCGCATGTAGATCGAATTTGAAGCAAACTCATTGTTTTTTACCTTGAAGTCTTCGATGGGCCATGCGGTTGAGCATTGTCTACCAATATCATCAATGTCAGAACCACGAGCTACTGTAGCCGCTTTGTATATCTAATGTGCTTAGGACGTCGGAGGCCGAAATTTCTTCAAAGCGTTACTTAATCTGTTTCACGTGTCAACTGCTGAGTATTAAACACTAACATACTTGAGCGTGAGGGGATAATGTAAGCCTTCACTACAAAAACTACATTTGTATTCGTATCTAGTAGAAATCTCATTAGCTGAGGTCGCACGTGCGTACTCCTACGTTTGTGTCACCGATTTATTATAACGTTTGTAGTGTTAGTTCGTGCATTACGATAAGCCGTTTGGTATAGTATAACACTTACTATGATTTTTAATGCATTTTTACGTTATTATAAATATGTATCTTATATTATGTAGTCCCTACAACTTGATCTTTTGATTCTACTAGCATGCAAATTGTGTTTAAAAAACCAAGTGTTTAGATTAGTCATATTTCATTGAGCATTAAAGTTGAAGTTTTATATTAAACGTCATTATTGAGATAGGTTTATGAACTTTACCAATTATAAAATTTGATTCTTATTGTGTTTTTTTTTTCATACAGGTAATGATAGATAAACAAGATGTAGGTCCGTATAGTGTAGTGGTAACTGGAGCCCATAGCAATTACAAAATGAACGCTGCAACACAACTTGAAAGATGAGGTCCATGTCTCAATTATATTGTGCAACGGCTGTCTCATCTTTTATTATTCCTGCTTCGCGGCAGATAGGCTGGCACTAACTGCTCGTGCGGGCTGACGATGCATCCTACTTACTACCAGTTAGTAATTCTCCTCCCGACAAACAGATTATAAATGTAAATTTTTAGAGAATAAATAAATAAAACTCATTCGTGCATTTTGTTTTGAACAAACCAACACGTAGCCATATCACATTCTTCCTTCCTAGTCGTACACTCTTGACAGAGTGGTCGTGGTGATGCATCAATCGAATCCTGCAATACCGATGCTCTCGCGATGCGTCGCCACGTGGGACGATGTTTCTCAGAGTGAGAGCAATCATTTATATTGGGGTGAGTCACAGTTTTTATGAGGTCGGTCCATCGTGTTGGAGATCGTCCGTGAGATCTTTTGCCCTCGACTTTCCCTTGCACCACCAACTGCTCAATGGAGTTTTCATTACGAGTGATGTGCCTGAAGAACTTGAGGATTCGTTGGTACGGTGCACGGTCCACGGAATTCTGAGAAGACGTCTTCAACACACTTTGTAATTATTCCTACACAATATACAGATAGCCCTTCTATATATAACACAGTATTTTACGACACGGTTCCACTCTAACACGAAAAGAAAAATCCCCCCAAAATCCTCTTATAACATGGTGGTACTTTTACAACACGATAATGAGATTTCTGTTAAAAATTATTTAGAATATTAAATTATGCATTATGAACACACATTATATGGGAATAACAGAAAATTTACTGCTTATTTGTTATGTATAATAGGTAAAAAAATACATACGGTAATATTTGAGATGTTTCGTTTAGAAAAATTACTCTCCTTTTTGTACCGGCTTCTGGTTCATACAACAGGGTTTCGCACAACAACAACGGGACTTTGTAGGATAGACATCAAACCACCGAAAAGCACAGCAGTGTTATTTCGAAGGGGAAGCTCACCGCCTTATTTCCTCCCGCATTAGGAGGAGAAATATCATATCCCCAATCACCCTCTTCGGCCAACCTATACTCTGGGCCAGGAAGGTCAAGTAGCTGGGAGTCACCCTGGATACATCTATGGCATTCCGTCCGCATATAAAACCAGTCCGCGACCGTGCCGCATTTATTCTCGACAGACTCTATCTTATGATCTGAAAGAGGAGTAAAATGTCCCTTCGGAACAAGGTGACACTTTGCAAAACTTGCATAAGGGCCGTCATGACTTACGCGCGTGTGGTGTTCGCTTACGCGGCCCACACACATATAGACACCCTTCAATCCCTACAATCCCGCTTTTGCAGGTTAGCCGTCGGGGCTCCGTGGTTCGTGAGGAACGTTGACCTACAGGACGACCTGGGCCTCGAATCAATCCGGAAATACATGAAGTCAGCGTCGGAACGATACTTCGATAAGGCTATGCGTCATGATAATTGCCATATCGTTGCCGCCGCTGACTACTCCCCGAATACTGATCATGCAGGAGCCAGTCACCGTCGATGCCCTAGACACGTCCTTACGGATCCATCAGATCCAATAACCTTTGCATTAGATGTCTTCAGCTCTAACACTAGGAGCAGGCTTAGGGATCCCGGTAACCGTACTCGTCGAACTCGACAAAGAGGTCGAGGTGCAACCTAACCCATGCATCAGCCCGCTGAGTTTCTCGCCGGATCTTCTCAGCGGGTCGCGATTCTGATCCGGTAGTAGATTCATTCGCGAAGCAATTGCTCCGAGTTGTTAGGTCTCCTTCGGAGGCGCTCGGGCAATTTTTAGCAGATCCCACCCCTCCTGGCTGAGCCTTTGCTCGCCTACCTATTCTGGTGAAACTGGAAAGGCCTCTGGGCTACCAGTAATCATTCAATCATAAAAAAAAAATTTTAGGAACGTATCTACCGTGTTAACGTAAAACAAAAAAAGAACGAAAAGTAAATTCGACTTCAACAAAATAAAATTAGAATTAAAATTAGTTAATAAAAAAAACACTGCTCTGATTTTAATAAAAATCTAATGGGGCATAACAAATACCAAATTTCAAATAAAAA